AGCCTTTTGTCAATCCACAGCTGGATTAAAGGGAGACTCCCCAGGCCACGAAAGTCATGGGGATATTATTTTATTATTGTAATTCTTTACCACAGCTGCTCAGTGAAGGCGGAAAGCAATAAAATGTGGGAGCGTTGATGTTCAGTGCAATGAATTTTGCAAAACTGCTACCCTTCCACGTCATTTACATATATATACTTTCCAGGTAAGGCCCACTTCGCTATACAGTACAGCTCGTTTTCATAAGCGACCGGGCCATACATGATAGCTCAACGAAGTGGCATATCATGTGGAAACAGCATGTTTCTAATTGTGGAGGGAAAAACCAGAGGACCCGGAGTAAAATCCACGCGACCACGAGGACAGAGAGAGAGAGACATGCAAGCTCCAAATATACAGCTGTCAGGGTCGGGATGGGACCCACGAAATCTTGTACACCAAGCGAGGTAATTAACATCTCGCCACCGTGGCGTCGTCTTAGCCCTCCACAAGCCTTGTTTGTGCATGCGGGTCACCCATCCCAGCACTACCTGGGGGTCATTGGGTCAAATATGTACACACAAAGTAATCCGTATAGTTGATATACACTTGACACCCCCCCCCACCTCACTAAATAAGCAAATTCACTCCCAAGACACGTGCCTCAGCACCACAGCATTAGGCATCGTCATTTTTGATGTTCAACCACTCATTGTCACATAGTTGACGCAAATACATGTGTATAAATAAGACCATTGCGCTGACGAATATTTTTCGTCACGAATATGGTTCACGACATGAACACCGGCTGTATTATCGCTGTGTGTAGAGCCCTGTGTTTTGCATAGCGGCGTATTGTGTTGTGAGACGTATAGTGGTGGGTGTTGGGTTGCGTGTAGCGGTGAGGATGGTATTGGTGAGTGTGTTGTGTATCGTTCATAGCGGTGAGCGCTGTGTTGTGCGTGCAGCGTATTTCTGTCGTCTGCAGTGGAGTGCTGTGTTTAGTGTGTTGTGTTGAGCACAGTGGTGAGCGTTGTGTGTAGTATACAGAGTTGTGTGTGGTGGGCCGGGCCATGTGCATGCTGCACAACGGCACTCGTGCTGTAGACGCAGCAGATGTTCCTCTATCTCGAGGGAGAATATAGCTCTGGGTCGAGGCTGCCCCTTTGGGGGGGGTAACACACCCGCTCTCCAGGGACCCTTGTTGTGGCTGGGTTAGAGTAAAAAAAGGCTTTGTCTCGCTTGCAAAATGCCTTCTACAACGAGACGCTTTACCTTACACCTTAAATCGTCAGTGCTCCTCCTTTTTTATCCTTCACTGTTTATTTTATTTTACCGAGGTAAGGCCCCCCCCCCTACTCTTTTTCCGAAGCGACTTGGCCACTAATTTCGATTTAAAGTCACGTAGAAGGGAAATAATAAAGTAATAAAAAAATAAAACATAATCAAATTCGCACGACGTTTCGGCCACAACGCAAGCAGCCGTCCTCAGGTGAAGAACAGAGCTGTCGGAGGACGGCTGCTTGCGTTGTGGCCGAAACGTCGTGAGAATTTTTTTTTATCATTTCCCTTCTACGTGACTTTACCGAAAGAAACAAGAATATGACTTGGCCACGCATGATAAGCTCTACGAAGTGGCTCGTCGTGTGGAAATTAATAGCAGCCAGATACTCTTAAACGGAGTGTTTCTGAACGTGGATGGAATATCCCGGAGGACCCAGAGAAAAATCCACGCGACCATGCGGGGCAACATGTAAACTCCAAATATACAGGCGTCAGGGTAGGGATCGAACTCGTGCCCTCCCGTATACCAGGCAAGGGAGCTAACATCTTGCCACCGTGGCGCCCACGGTGCTCAAACTAAAATAATAAATCCATCTACCCAAGGCTTAATTTCAGCTGGGTCTGTGTGTGCGAGTTGCACAGTATTACCACATCCAGTTATATGCCACAAGCTCTGGCTATGGCTTGTGGCATATAACTGGATGTGGTAATAAAGTATTCGTGACTGCATAAAATTACTCATTGAGTGGATGTGGTAATACTCCAGCAACCGGAAAATAGTAGACGGTGAAACATTCTCTCTCTCAAAGGTATTTAGAGACAGGTACAGTGGTTTTGTCAAGGGATAAACAGTGTGAGCAAACAGTGTTTAGGAAAGGTTTCTCTACCATTGACTACATAGCTATCAATCAGATCATGGAAAATAATAGGGAATTTCCATTGCTGTACCCACTGTGCCAAGCCTTTGTAGGCTATCAAAAGCATTTTGATTCGGTAGAAATCGATGCAGTCATCCAAGCCATCACTAAACGAGACTTAAATTAATACATGCAACACTTAGAAGTGAAAGTCATTTACAAAATTGCAACATTAATTTGAACACCCAACCCCTTTCACTCTCCAGTAAATTCAAGTTAATTTAAACATCTTGAAGGCCAGTCGGCCGAAACGCCAGTCTTCCTTTTACTCACTGACAATAGCAAAAAAAATCACATTTAATTAGCCTGAGAAGTGCAACACGACCTCGAATAGAATGTGGTCGATACAAGCTAATCTGAATACGTACATTAAACATCATCAGCCATGATAAATCCACTGCTGGATGAGGGCCTCCCCATGCCGTGGCGGGTGGTGGGTGGGGTGGCGTTATTTGACCATACTTCACCACACTGCTCAGTGACGATTGGTAAAGGCGAGGAACATACACGTGGCTGTATTTAACGTTGAGTGCGTACTTCAACGATCTCCTTTGCAGCACCGCCCTCTGCTGCCAACAATGTGTTTTATTATTATGAGTAACAAAATGATGCCCAAATGCTATTCCATTGAATATGGCGACAAATGGCAATGTCGAGCTCTGATAAGCCACGACGGGAGGTGTTCAGGGCAGAGTTTGTGAAGTTTCGCTATTCCTCCGTTGTAGGAGAGCAGGCTTCAGTGATTTACTACATAGTCCATCATTTTTGGGCTGCATGTCTGAAATGACAACTATTTGAATTTGTTTTCAAATTTCCGTTCAAGTAGGTGTGCAACATCGGCTCGTTGACGATGTTTTGATGCAGATTGCCATTTACAAGGGCCGCTTATTTGAGCCATCCCAAAGCGTCTCACATTTGAATCGTTCCAACGCCCGGCTGTAAGTTTTTTTTCTTTTAGCCTGTGGGAATGCCGTTGATTTAAGTTCTGCAAATGCAACGTCTAACGTTCGATCCCGACCCTGACGCCTGCTGTGTATTTGGGAGTTTGCGCTGTTCCATCTCTCCCCCCGTGGTCGCGTGGATTTTTCTCTAAGAGTCATGCCCTCCACATTTAGAATCAACAACAGGACGTTTAGAGTATCTGACTGCTATATATATTTCCACACGGATGATAAGCCACTTCGTCGAGCTATCATTATTTGCGATAGCCAGGTCGCTTTTGAAAATAAAATCTCTTGAAGCTCTGTGGGTGCCTTGCCTGGTTACAAAAAAAAAGTAAAACAATAGTTAGTCTCACTACCCAATAGAGGGAACTTTAGACAACCCTTCAAGATACCCGTCAACCCCCTTTATCAGTGCCCTACCTTATTGCAGACCAATTCTGACCTTATTGGTCACCCCGTGCCCCTTATACATCTCAACGTTCATCCTACAAAGTCCCATTAGCAAGGGGGAAACAGACAATTTGATTTTTGTTGCCCCATATTGAAACGGCTGTACGCCGTATGGACCTGAAAACTCAATTTCCCTGTGAAAGAATACGGGTGGGTAAACCGTATGGGTGGACAGAAAATATGGCTCTAGATTTTGGTGTTATTTATTTATGTAGTTTATTGTTAAAAATTCGGTCACAGTCCCTATGATCACTGTTACACATTTGTGGCTTTTATTTTGGTGATTTCGAAAACGTTTTTTTTGTTTTGGCCATGTTTTTGTTTATTGTAGTACGGGGTTATACTGATGTCCTTAATAACAGGTCCCTGCAGGGTGGGCTGGTAGGAACATTGGCAAAGTAACGTCACGGTGCCTTCGAACTTCGCCTCGCAAATGGTATTCGGCTGTGGGCTGTGTGTGAATTTGCCACATCCCCAAAAGCGAAGTTCGCAAATGAGATAATGTGACTTCCAAATGTTGGGTGCAATAAGACATATCAAGTCTCTGCGCTGTCTATTGCTGATTTTACACCCAACAGCACGAGATTTCACTTCGTTAAAGTATTGAAAGGGGACGGACGGACGGACACATTAATCTATTGCAGGCTGGTACACTCAGTTTACAACTTCGTTCCTACCAGTATTAGTTGTCTTGTGGTTGTTGTTGTTGTTTGACTTGCATCCCACTGGTATTTTTGCACACAGCGTTGGTGTACGGTGCTATTTCAGGAATATTTTGATGTTTTTTTCCTGGATTTTCTGTTTGCACAGTCACATAAAGTCACTTTAAGATGTTTTTCTTGTTCATGTTTTTGTTTGTTGCGGTTGCACCCGATTCAAGAGCCGAATAGCTCACAGGGCTATACCAAATAAATGAAATAAATGAAATATGGAACTTTTAGACTTCTTGACAATTCGCATACAAAAACGCTGTAACTATACAGAGATTTAGTATGGTCAGAAAGTTATCGAATCCGTCACGTTTTGATTAGATGCGTCTGTCGTGAGCACGGGTATACATTTTTATCGATGTATTGATTAATCGTTACCAACATACAGTAACCGCAATAATAAAACAAACTCGACATTTCACACTATTTAATTCACTGCTGTGTCAAAAGGCCACGAATAATGATCGATTCTTTTAAAAAAAACTAATCTATTCCCTATTTTGTGCTAGTTTCATCGCATATTTTACCCTTTTGCAATATACCATTTTAGACAATATATTTGTTTTTGTAATTTGTAATCATATTTTTTTCAAATGTTTTTTTGTTGTTAATACCGTGTGTAATAATCAATTCATGCGTTCGATTACACGTGAATCTAGAGCGTAGGAATCGAGCAAGTTTTGGAATCTATTAAAATCGATTCACCCCGGCTTGCAGAGTTCAAAGTTCACGGTGTCGGCGCATGCGCGATGCGGCTTCTGCGTTGCATCTTCGTATCGTGGTGGTGGTAGTTGTTGTTGATAATCGCGCGGTTTAACTTGGTCTTTTTGTAAAACAAACAAGTCGCTTCACGTCCAAAGTTCGCAATATTTAAGGCACACAGCCTACGCGTCGTTCCGCGCAAACGCAGAAAGGTGAGAAGTGCGAATTTAAAAGGTACTTGTAAGGCTGAGAATTCTGCGCCAGGCCACGTGTTTCTGGTGGCTACGGCGGCCCTCGCACGTGGGGCGAGAGTTCGGGCGCAGTAAAAACTTCGGATCGCCTTGGGATTTATAACTCGCAAGGTTCGCTGTCGTACGGCGATTTGTAATACAGAGAGTGAATAAAGTACGTGAAGTTATTGCTCTATCGCGTTATTATAAACTGACCTGCTTTGATCTGCCCTCCCTCGACCGCAACACGTGGGTGGCATAAGCATCATTGTCTTGTTTAAAATTGTGGGTTCACTATACGGTATATATATGATTGTATATTATAGAGTAATTGTTAAATTATAAGAATGTGTTCTGACGTCGCTTCCTCCCCACCTGAACACGTGGATGGATCGGCGTTATGCTCTAGCGTTTAATCTGTACATCTGTGTGTTACTAATGGTAATAGTCACGTTATAGTAACGACTGTATTTAAGAATCTGTGCTGCTGTCCTGCTTACTTGGCCGACACGCTCTGACCAGCGTGAAGTATGGTCATACACTTCATAGGCGTTCGCTGTTGTGCCGCTAACACGGCTCTCGAATGTGTACCGCGTGTTGCCCCGACTATTCGGACGACTTGTAAATCAACAAAACGCATTTATTTTCGGGATGTCGCCCTCGCGAGAGATCCATCGACGTGTCGTTAGTAAATGACATGCTAAACGTGTTCGTCGGTGTAAATTGCTCATCTTCTGCCGCAGCACTCAAGATGGAAGCGAATGGCAGCAGTGAGAAACCCACAGACCTTCAAAAGAAAATCTACACACAGATTGAGGTGATGATGATCCTCATTATATCACATGAAAGCAATTACAGTATAAGCACAGGTCTGTTCTTTATGTCCGCATATACATAACATCTGTTTGTAGTTCCTCGGCCGAATGACTTTCCAGACTAATAGCAAGTAGATTGTGTTTTTTTAAGCCGTCAAACTCGGGACCAGTTTTGTTATTCTGAGCAGATCGTTTTTTAAGCTGTCAAAGTCGAGACCAGTTTTGTTATTCCGAGTCTTGCTCGTCAGCAGAGTATAAGGCGTGTTCGTGGAGACACGGGGTATAATATTTCACAACAACGCATGAGTTTCTAGTTAGTATTTTCAGAAACATTTTTCACAGAAGCTTACATTGTTTAAACGTTAGGAGGTAAATTTTACCAACAGAATTGCTCTCATGAAATTGACATTTACAAATGCATTCGAGTATTACATTTTATATCTATTCCAACACATTTCCATTGAGGGACAACTCCAGGTTTAACATTTTTCGTTTATTTCATGATGGTGTAGTCCTCTCACAATAGCTTGTGCTTATATACAATCATTGCAGATTGTTAACAGATAAATAGTTAACGAACAGCAAGTCCGTCTGTTGACGTAAAATATGTATTTTTGAGGTGCTATTAATGCCGACGTGAATGAACGCCATGACCCTTGTTTGCAATGATGTAGGATTCGATTACGTTTCTTGTTGCAGTATTACTTTGGGAACCACAACCTGGTGCGAGACAAATTCATGCAGGAGCAGTTGAAGCTGGATGATGGCTGGATACCACTTGAGACTCTGGTCAAGTTTAACAGGTAACTTCCAATGCAACACTTAATTGTCTTTGAATAGTACTGACTATATTCCGCAGAATTAACATAGTTTTTTTCATTCACATGCCAGTTCTACTGAGATGAGGTGATGAAATCATCTTGAATAAAGGTGCTGAGTGGATAGCTACATCGCAGAACCCGTGAGAGATGGGTATGGCTTGGAGACATTTATCCAGCAGTTTATTGAGCATAGCTGATTATAGTATGCCAATTGAGGTCAGAATGATGTGCTATCAAGCCAAAAAGCTGAGTTTGATTCACAGCCACAGCTAATTAACGTAGGCAGAAAGTGATATCCGGGCTACTGCTGGACATCACATTCATCAATGTCAACTGACCAGCATTGTGAAGTGTGGTCAAAAGCCTCCTCAGTCATGTGGCCTGTTTAACGATGGAATCCTTCATAGAGCAATATAATGAACAGGACCGCATATACTTCATAATGGAGATGGTATGGGACGAAGGGAACAACAAATATTGTGAAATGAATTCTTAAACATGCGTGGTGACAATTTATCAAATCTTCGGTGGGATCGATTTGCCATGTAATATTTAATTCTGGAAAAAAGTTACTTATATTCATGCCAACACTTCTGGTGATGGGTAGTGAAACATTCGGCAAAAAGAACCCATAAATTTATTGATTGTTTTACATTGATTGGTTACCTTGACGGTTGAGATTTTATTTCGGGGTTATATTTTAATTATTTTTTTCGTCCTTTGTCAATGTGTTGAGGCTCTCCGCCCTGTCGAAGGACTTTGCGGTGATAGCGAGCGCGGTGAAACTGTCGCCCAACGACCTCCTGGTGGTTAGCGAAGACAACACGAAGATCCGTCGCAAGCCGGAGCTGCCCATCCCAGAAGCCAGTGCCTTCAAGGAGTCAATCAAGGGCTCCTCCATCTACGTGGTAACGTATTCACAACTTCTACAAACCCATTTTGCGCGTCATCGTCATAATTCATACCTACTCATTTTTTATGTTTGTTTATACATAATTCGGTTAAAACAATGTTTTACAAAAGAAGTACAAGGTTAAAGGGTAGATGTGCAGCCCTGCAAGTGCTTGCTTGAGCCGCTGCTGTTGGAATAGCCGCGATGAGAGGGAGCTCTAGACAACCACATCTTCATGGAATGTGGCCTACTCTTCCACACTGGCCAGACGTCTTGGTAGAGGTGGGATCACCCACGTTTTACCCCATCGATGGACTAACTCTGCAGTTGTACCCATTTATGGCCCTCCTGCCCACTTTACTCGATGACAAGCTGTTCATTTTCTGTTTAATTTTGCAGAAAGGGTTTCCCTTGGAAGTTGGTCTGGATGAAATCAAGGAGTGGTTTGAAAACAGAGCGACCAGCAAAGTTGAAAATATTCACCTCAGGAGGAACATGCAGAAGAAATTCAAGGTATGAAAAATGTCTTAGAAGCAATTCCAAGTTGTTGTGCAAAAAGTTATCTCTTTGAAAAATTATAACCTTTAACTTGTGCATTTGTATTCTTGGTTCTTTCGGTAAAGTCATGTAGAAGGGAAACAATAAAATAATAAAAATATAAAACAATAAAATGCTCACGACGTTTCGACTGCAACACAAGCAATCATCATCAGGTGTGAAAACCACAGCAAGAAAATTTGAAAAAAGTGGCGATTTTTTTAACGTTAGAACCACGGAGAGCAATTTGGCAGTTATTCAGGTGGACGAGTCCATCTATGTTCGGAAAAGAGGAGGGCGGAGACGAAAATAATGGATGCGGTCTGAAAGCTACCATAAGCGTGAACAATCAAGACCCGAAATGGTTTATCAAATTCTTCCAATGATTGCTAAGCCAGAATCCATCTTCTCGGTTGAATTGTCTGTGTTTGTATATGTGGATAGCCTCATGAACGAATCTCTCATGGTAGCCAGATGGCTTGCACAGAACATCTGTCTTGGAAAAGTCAATGTCATGTGAGCCTATTGAATTATAACAGTGATCTGCCACGGCCGAGGTGTTGGTCATACCGTGTTTTAGGTCTGCTTTGTGTTCACGGATGCAGTCGAAGCGTCGTGAGAATTTTATTGTTTTATATATTTTTTATTATTTTATTGTTTCCCTTCTACGTGACTTTACCGAAAGAACCAAGAATATGAATCCCTGCAGTCACGAAAGCTTTAAATCAAAATTTGTGCGTTTGTGTATTCAGGGATCCGTTTTTGCAGTGTTTGACACCGCGGAAAACGCGCAGAAGTTTGTGGACTTAGCTGACCACAAGTACAAGGACATCGATATGATTGTTCTAACCAAGTGAGTAAACTACGTGCTGATGTTGTTGCTGCATTGGCAGCGGTGCGCAAGCACAAATAACAAAAAAAACACGCTCGTCAATAATACTGTGGTCTTCATCTGCACTGCTGTAAAGTTGCACATTGAAACTTGTCGAGATAGTTAATAGTGCCTATGAAAAATTAAACATTTCATACTTGTCAGCGAAGACAACACACCCGGTTTACCCCTATACATTTATTTACCTATCTTATATCTTGGTAAAATAGTCAAAAGCACTATAATGTAAGTATAGTGCTATTACCCCTTAAATGAGTCGTTAGCAAAATAAATTCCAGAATAATTGACAGCATGTGGTTTTTGTATTGCCATTTTAGTAGTGAAATTATTTTATGTAACTGCAGCATGTGCATTCACAGCGGTATAGGTGTTAAAGTTGAAATAATTCAAATATTTATGGCAGGCTTATGTTGAGTGAACTGCAGTTGAAGAACTTAAGTCATCATTTATTTGTGCTGGAAATACAGCAACGAAAAAAACACATTGCAGCGAAATTGTGAAATACTACTACAGATTATAGGAAACGATCATCAGGATGATTGTAACATTGTGAACATTTCTATTGTATCATGGTATCGCCAACTTGGCACAGACAGTGCACAGTACCAAAGCTACTCATGCTAATAGCTGGGCCGTATTGCGTTGAAGTGCCTGGCTTGTGTAAATGCATTGTCGCTCTCTACTAGGGCAGCGTACTTTGCAAAGAAGCAGGACGAGAAGAAGGAGATGAAACTGCAAAATAAGCTGTCTAAAGAAAGTGAGACAAAACAAGATGATGAAGAATTTGTAAGTATTGTTAACTTGTCAATGAGTTTTTTCATGAATCACATTGTGTTGCATATAATTTACCTCGGATATTGATTTTCCACATTCCTATCAATTGTATTTGTATATTTAGCACTGCTTTGTCAATCCTCTGCTAGATGAGGGCCTCCTCACCTCACAAGTATGGCCAGGAACGATTCAGATATCATTCGCCACTAATGTTAGCCATGGCCCGGAATCAAACTCGGGTGATTGGGTTCATAGCGCAGTGCGCTAAGCGGTCCACCCCTTGTTTGAAAGTTTTTTTTATATTTTTGTCAAATAATATACAAGTTGAAGCAATATACGTGAAGATTGGTGTTCGCTTTTGTTTAATATGCTGTATATTCACTTGCATGCACGAGTTCACTGGAGATCATTCACCAGCTTATCACTCTTATTGATCCTCCGATGGCCACTTATCCAAAGAATTTCACTCTGATTCTTCCACCCTCTTTGAGAACTTGGTCTACCAGACCTACCGTTTCGTCTTATCCATACCGTGACTGTTCAACCACTACACCACATTGCAGGTCAAAAACTCTTTCTGCCTCTTTCCTTGCACTTCTCGACTCTGGAATTCCCTCCCATTATCTCTTATCCCCAAGTTCTTAGAACATTGGTCAATGCAGGAAACGTGGTACCGTATATGACTCTCCGCAAAGTGAGACGCCCTCCCCAAACTTGTGCCGGTGTAAATAAGTTACAACAAATCTGATCATACATACGCAAACAAAGCACACCTTCCGGATTATAAGGCTTGCCCGCGCCAAGTTTGCCTTTTTAAGTCCAGGGATCAGAGTGGATTTTTATAATTTGGAGAATACAGTAAGTAACGCTTATCATCTTTGGGTCTTTCGGTAAAGTCACGTAGATAGAACAATAAAATAATAAAAATACAAATGATTTTTATTAACTTTATTTTCATTTTTATTATTTTATTCTTCTATCTACGTGACTTTACCGTAAGACCCAAAGAATATTAATTCCTGCAGTCACGAAAGCTTTTAAGTCAAGAATTAACGCTTATTGCAATTTTTTGTTCTTGTTGGTCCCTTGCCTTTTCATGCCTGTGTTCAATCATAATACCCCTTTGCATTTTCAGAAAAACCTTAATTTCCAGGAAGGCTGCCTGCTCAAGTTTTCAGGCGATTTGGATTCCTTCACAAGCCGCGAGGACATAACGGAAGTTTTCAAAGGCCATGGACAAATCAAGTGGATTGACTTTGCACGTGGAGCCAAGGAGGTATTGGATAGGCTCTAACAATTTGTCAGTTAATCAATGCTTATGATAGATGCGATAAACACAGACACCATGATAGATGCATTGTATTGTATGTTTGAGTCGGTTTTGATGCGTGTGTTTAGTTTTTTTTACACAATAGATTGTATAGATTGAGAAATGCAAAGATCCCCAGTATAGACTTAAACAGGCTGTTGGGGCATATGCTATTACTGAGCAAGTAATTAAGGCTGGCACCAGAGGGGGTGGGTGACCAGCGCCATGACCTGCTGCCTTTGTCTCCCCAGTGCTCATGTTTACACATCGCACCAGGTACTCATTTTAGGCTGTCAACCGTGGGAATGCCCAGGACCAGTTCATATATTCGTCACTGATGTTGGTCGTGAGCGGGACTCGAATGTGTGTCCGCCTAGTTTCGTATTGCAGTGTGCTAAGCACTAAACTACCGCTCCCCTAGGTCAACTCCGATTGGGCCAGGCATGGTGACACACGCATTGCGTTGCTCAATGTTTGAAAGCCAGGGTTGGTGGTTCATGCAGACCATATATCATCCTCTGCAAATGTATGCATTTAAAAGGTTGAAAACTCAGCTTTTCAAATATTGTACAGTAGTGTATCTTAAGCATACAATAATGTCAAACAACACATCACTACTCTGTGATTAATTTGAATGGGCACTTTGTCTCATGGCCTGGGAGAAAAGATAGTAATTCTAATTTTTTTTAAACCAGCTATTGCTTGAATGTTACTCTTTGTTTACCTGCATCACCTCGTTCCGCAGGGTTTTGTGCGCTTGACTACGGATGCACAAGGGGCACTGGAGCGGGCCTCTGCTGCTCAGCTAGCAGTGGCGAAAAAGGGGGAAACCACAGAAAAGTCCAAGGGAGAGGAACCAAAGACAACAGAGAAGGTGTGGACATTATTTTTGTTACCTTACGTTTGGTTTCATTTGTCACATTTCACGTGCAATATGTAATGCTAAGTTCGTGTTTAAATTGTTTTACACATTCATAATTAAGTAGAGTTAGCACTGCAGTACTGTAATGAACTCATACCCCTTAAACCGTTTGAAGGAGGCCATAATCCAGCAGTGGATTGATCATGGCTGGAAAAAAGCTCATGAATGTAACTGGCACCTCTTGTGACCACAGTCACTGCCATCAAATCCAGAGTCCGTGTTGCGGTAACTGAATTAACTCCTGTACCCTTTAAACCCTTTAAAGGAAGAGGCAAAAGACAAGAGCAGCAAAGTGGTGGAGGCGGCGGCGGTGGAGGTGGCGGCGCCGGCGCCGGCGGTGGAGGCGCCTGCGGTGGCGGCGGCGGCGCCGGCGGTGGAGGTGGCGGCGCCGGCGCCGGCGGTGGAGGCGCCTGCGGTGGCGGCGGCGGCGCCGGCGGTGGAGGTGGCGGTGCCCGCGGCAGCGGCGCCCGCGGTCCCGCTGCGGCTGCGTGGACGCGACGTAAAGTGGGAGGTGCTGGAGGGAGAGGCGGCGCGTCAGGTGTGGATCCGCCTTCTCAAGGAACAGCAGGAGACCATGAACAAGCGTCGCGTCACCCGCAGCGGTGGTAAGGGGAGCGCAGGCCTACACTTTTGTCGTTTTGATACACGACTGGCATTTTCATAGGACGGCCCTGCATTGGCGGTGAGCCGGCGCCAACAATTTCCCAAGCTCTGCAGTCATATATATTCAGATGTTTTCATTCGATTAATAAATGTTTTATACACGTTGGAGGAAACCAGAACACCTGTAAGATCTTCAATATTTAACTTTTTTCATCCACCTCTCAACAGACGTCTACTTTCCAAACACTTAATGTTTTATTGGTTGCCGAGTTTTTCCTGGATGCCCCCCAAACGACACTTCAAATGCCATTATAAAATCAAGACAAAGAATCGCGTCTTTTTTTTTCCATATCACATCCGCAACTCTTAATCGTAACAATTAATCGGATCGCCAGCGGAGGTGATTAATCGATACATGTTTAATTGTTCATTTTAGAAAATGGATAATGAGAGTCTGACCTGAGATAATTATTTTCCTCCAGGCCGGCGAGGTGGTAACCACGGAGGAAGAGGAGGTGGTGGCAGAGGAGGGCGTGGGGGACGGAGGGATAACAGAGAGTTCCAGGGCAAAAAGACAAAGTTCGAAAGTGACGATGAAGATGGTGATGATGCAGCAGGTAAGAGAGAATTAATTATCCCATGTATGAAGGTATGTTTTGCACTGTCCGTAGCCAACCGTGAAAATCAGAGTGAGTTGCCTTTGGTATTGTGTGAAAAGTGGTTTGACCCAATGTATGTCATGTTTTTAATTCTTCCAACTCGTGTATTGATGAGATTAAAAGTATTATTAACGTATTGGCTCTCATCGTCTCGTAAAGTGGGGTCCCAATGCTCGTATAAGATGATCCAATATAAAATAACTTTTTAGTATAGTCGGTTGGCTGTTATGGACTTACCCTTTAGAAAATCAGACAAATTGACCCAAAGGCTTGTCCAAGACATGGCGATAAAAAACGCAGCGCTAAAATAATTTACCTTGCCTGCCAAGGCAGTGACATCATGAAATTACATAATTCAGTTTGATGTCCTGTCATGACGTGTGACAGTTCTTTATGTTCCTTGTTGCGTACTGTGATCGCGAATTTAAATACTTCCGAGGGATAAATGCTTGCAGAATCCCTGCAGGGCACATGGTTTTTCTTTCGTGAAATTTTTTTTTTCATTGGCCACTCGTATTCCGCAGAGTCGAAGAAGAGACCCTTGGAAAGTGAACCAACGTCAGAGCCGCAAGCAAAGCAAGCAAAGACCGAATAAAATAAGTTGACCTTTCAACTGTTTAACCATCACATCTACTGTCTTCTAAATGTAACCCGTTGCATTTTGAGTTGAGGCATGGTATGTATATTTAAAATTGGTTTTAAATGGTCCACATTCCGTGAATTAAGAGAATGATAATCACGTTAGAATTTCTAGAGCAAACAAACGTTTGAGTTTCATTTGTTTTGTGTTTTTTTCTGCAAGACGCTGAAATGATCAGGCTTTTTCAGAACCTAAGTTTTAATTTGCATTACTTTGTTAAAAAATTATTGTTTTAGAGCATTTCATTGAATGTTATTTAAGAAGTGTCCATCGAGCTAATGGTTCTTGTGTTGGTTGAAAGGTGGAAAATCTAAAAAACGTAATCGCTTTGAGTGAAAAACTCGCTTCAGTCAATGGCACGTACTGCTGTCAAACAAAAATCTGTAAAATGTGCTGTTCACATTGCTTTGAACATGATACAATAAAAATTAACCTTTTTTTCTGAACATCTGTACCAATATGCATGTTGTATCGTGTTTAGTTGTGCGAGGAGGACTTCAGTCTATTCACAAGTCCCCTGGCGTTTGGTAGAGATAGAAGATTGGTGACCATTCCCGGTTATCCAACGACCCCTGAGGAATAAACGTGTCGTGGATGGAGTCCGTTGAAGGACTGAAGAAAGAAGGAATGCAACAGGAGTCACCGATGCTGTTGCCAAAGCAAAATACATTAACTCAATGGACAGAACGTGTCATGGAAACAGCCGACGAGAGATGACGGACAAAATTGGCCCCCAATGTAGTGGATACTCGAAAGTTGGCTAAAGAAGGGGGTGGAAGACAGATGGCAGCGTGACAATCGAGAGTTTAGAGGCCATTGCTGGAAAAAAAAAGCTAAGGAAATGAAGGAATGGAAGAATATTGAGGGGAGGGTAAACTTCCCACTGCTGGCCTTTGCCCAGCAGTGGGAAGTTTGACGCTTTCAATGTGACAAGGATCAAACAAGAAATGTATTGGAATCGGAATGTTTATACTGGAGGAATCCGATGAGCTATGAAGCTCTTTTTCACAGATGTCCAGTAGGGGCAGGTCAGACCGTTACAGCAAACATACAAAAACTCTTCTTTGGTTCTTTCGGTAAAGTCACGTACAATGAGAATGAAATAATAAAATAAGAAAATAAAATTCTCACGGCGTTTCGGCCACAACACAAGTAGCCGACCTCAGGTGAAGAAACAGGACTGGCAAGCTTGGCAGGGTTCACTCAAGCGCTGTCTTCTGCACAGTCCTGTTTCTTCACCTGAGGACGGCTACTTGTGTTGTGGCCGAAACGTCGTGAGAATTTTCTTTTATTTCATTCTAATTCTACGTGACTTTACTGAAAGAACCAAAGAAGATGAATCCTTGCAGTCACGAAAGCTTTAAATCGAAATACAAAAACTCGATTAGAGGTGCAAAGTACAGAAAAGGTAAGCAAATGATTAAGCATCTTATTTTACCAGGTAAAGCCCATTAAGCTATTCGCTTTTTCAGAAGCGACCTGTTCGTGTCACTTGACGCATGATTACTTGCACGTGTTACACGCGCGTCAATCCGCTGCTGGATGAGAACCCACGTTGTACGGCTCCGGAGGGTTGTTTGAATATATTTGGTACTTTACCCATCAGTGCTGATTGGTGAATGAGAACGTTGGAAGTACGGTGCAATCGATTTTGCTGAACTGCCCTGTGCTGTCAACTACATAGCTTTAAAGCGGCCTCTCACAAATCTTCTAGGTGTTCATCCATCCAAGCACTATCCAGGCTCAACTTTGCTTGGCTCGAGGGATCGGGTGCATGTGGAGTTGTTCCTCTGCTTTCATGCAAGGTTTTCACAGCTTCTGAACGCCAATTCGAATTCATCAGGAGGTAGCAAAGGAGCCAGATCCTGTCACGTGGAGAACAGGCGCGTGAAGGCCACATGGTGTGTCCTTGTCCTCCAGGCTTGTGATGATGCATCGATTCGTCAATCAAAATAGATTCTTACGCCCCCCCCCCCCCCCCCCATCTAAATTGTGCGTTCGCGAATCAATAAACATTCAAGGTTTGTGGCTCGGTGGCTAGCGTACTGCCCGATGAATCCAGCGACCTGCGTTCTAGTCCACAACTCAATCGCTGGTGAGCGCTGTGATGTCGATGATGGGTGGTTGGAAACGACCGTCGTGGAGACGAGGGTGGTGCAATGGTTCGCATACTGGGCTGGGTATGAAACACTCATCGGAAAGTGTTATCTGAATCGGGCCCGGTTTTGCCACCTTCAACCCGCACTAGCCAACGTAAGAGAAGTGTGGTCAAACAACCACCATGACCGACTTGGCATGGTATGGGGCTTAATCCAGCCGTGGACTCAAAGAGGGGCTGTACTTGATGCCGTTACATTTATGACCAACGGAATGGATAACCGAATTGAACAAACAAGACCGAAAAAGCGAGCAACAATACGGATTAATCGTGAAATGAGTTTCACCTTCCCATCCCCTCCATGCCCACCGAGCCTTTCGGCCACACGCCTCAAGATCTCACTCCCACTCATCTCCCCTCTCACTCCCACTCATCTCCCCTCTCACTCCCACTCATCTCCCATATCACTCTTACTCCCCTCCCATCTCACTCCCACTCACCTTCCATCTATCTCCCAATCCCCTCTCACTCCCCTCCCATCTCACTCCACTCCCCTCTCACTCCCCTCCCATCTCACTCGCATCTCTCCCCCACAGAACCAAACCCTTCTCGCCCATCACTCTCACTCCCCTCACTTCTCCCACTCCTCACCCCCACCCCTCAATCCCCCCAGCCCCTCCCCTCACTTTCCTTCTCCCGCCTCCCATCCTAAGCCCCGCCTCTCAATCCCCCCAGCCCCTCCCCTCACTTTCCTTCTCCCGCTTCCCACCCTTAACTTCACCCCCACCCCTTACCCCGCCCCTCACCCCCTACCCCGCCCCTCTCCCCGCCCCTCACCCCGCCTACCCCGCCCCTCACCCCGCCCCTCCCCCCAGGTCTCGCGCCCCCTGCTGGTGACGGTTGGGGCCGCGCTTTCCCCACCTCCCCCCCTCCTCAGAAAACAACAAAAAAGATAAAACAAAAACAGGAAAACAAACATTTAAAACCACACACACACACTTCATGATGTTTGTGAATCCATGTCCAGAGAACGAGGGAGGTGACGCGGATACGTTTCAGGTAAATTCGGGTTGTTGCTAAGGCTGAAGAGAGAGGCCCGTTGTGTTGCGTGAACGCGTCTTATAGAACGCGCGTATCGAGTCGTTCATGTTACAAAGTGTACGCTTTAAGCTGTCACAATTGTACAGGCAAGCGTGGTGTAATGTTAGTGTGTTCAATTGCCCTCTTGTAAATGTGGGCACCAATTGATCCGTACATAAACATAGTTACGTAAATAACGGCATTGCGTCGCGTTGCTTTAAAGCAGCAATACAAAAGTGCAAATACAACATTAGACAAAACAACATAACGGTTTCCGTGATGTAATACTACAACAATTAACATAAGGCATCTAATCAAACAAACAAACGAGTATTTAGCCAAGCGGAGGTTAATTTTCGCACAAACTCCTCACCCGACCGTGGTCTATCCACTGCTGGATGCCGGCCTCCCCCCCCACCACGATCTCTGAGTCTCACAGCGAAAACCTGATGAAGGAAGCCTCCGAAACGTCGTGATTTGATTTTAGTTGTTTTCATTTTTTGTTTGCTTTATCTTATTTATTTACCTACGTGACTTTAACGAAAGAACCAAAGAGGGTATCTCGCAGCGCAACGGAAATCCATAAAAGTCGCTCGTCCCTTCCAGCTTCTTGCCTTTTTTAATATTTAATTTAATATCCCAACCTTGCGCGACCCTCTTTCTCGTTTATTCTCTCGTTTTTATCGTCACGTTTGTATCGTCACATTTGTATCGTCACATTTGCCCCATCTCGCTCCGTCTCCGCATCGCCTGTCGCCTCGCACATCAAACACTAATAACGCACGCTGAACTTTCTTTCGCACCGTACGCAGCCAACCGTGCTAATAGGGGGTGCAGTGTTGAGTCTGTTGGCATTGTTGAGTCTGGGATAGCGTGAGTCTATGGGTAGTGTTAGTCTATGGGCAGTATGTATGTTGAACTTCTTTCGCACCGTACGTAGCCAACCGTACTAATCGGAGGTGCAGGGCCAAGGGCAACACACTTTAGTGCAACAAATGTTGCATGTTCGCATTCATTTAACACTTTCAAAATATGTTGGGCAGGCGATTCGATGCATGTTTTTGTTTCAGCAGTTATTTTCATCAATGTGTAATTGTAGCCCTATGATAGTAATACTAAGTATCTCTAAATTCTATCCATCATCATAAGATGCTGGACATCTGTGCAAAAGAGCTTCATAGCTCAACGGATTTCTCCAAGATAAATAACGATTCTGATTCTGAAGTATAATTCAGTATACTGTTGTATTCGTCTACAAATGTAGTTGTTTGGAGAAAAATATAAGGACATGTGAATATCTGTCCCGTGTATGGTTCCACAACTTCCCTCAGTTTGTCATTTTATACAGTACAGTACGAGAGAAACGTAGCTTCATGTATTTCATGCAAATTACCACATGTCTTCTTATTGATAATTCAAAGAACAAGTATTAGAGAGAGAAAACATTACCGTAAAATCCGTTTTTACAAAGTTACGTTCGAAATGCTCTCGTGTGACCAATCCTGATTTTAGGTAGTATTTGCCATTCCACGGAATTGGGGGGGGGGGGGAATCATAAAGATGCTAACAAAACAGCTTACACCAATTTACATTCGTGTTTATTTTATACCGTCATGTACCTTTGTCTGAATGTTTTGTTTGGAAAATTTGCATGATCTCCTTTTGACAGATGAAAACATCGTCATATGAAGGGAATGGTTCTCCCACGATCTACTCTCCTTCATATAGCCCTCAAAACCAGACTTCAAGAAGCACATTCAACAGCTCTTGGTCAGAGAGTGAGGATAATGCTATATCAGTTGTAGAACCATCAGCAGCTGATAAACTCAGGTTTGCTATGAAGCAAGTTGTCCTATTAACTTTACGTTGTTTTAAAAATAACCTTTGTAGAGATATACTGTTTATAAACACAATTCTCTCTTTTCTTTCCCACTGAGAATAACATGTTTCATGCTGATTTAAAGCTTTCGTGACTGCAGTAATTCATATTCTTAGTTTTTTCGGTAAAGTCACGTTGAAGAGAAACAACAAAATAATTATATATATTATTATTTTGTTGTTTCTCTTCAACGTGAAACAACAAAATAATTATATATATTATTATTTTGTTGTTTCTCTTCAACGTGACTTTATTATTATTTTGTTGTTTCTCTTCAACGTGACTTTACCGAAAAAACTAAGAATATGTTTCATGCTATTCCATTTTCGGAATGATTTTACATTAATCATGACCCTGTATCATACTGAACCCAAGATTTATTGTGGTTTTCGTCAAAAAGAGAATACGTGTTATTTCATAGTAACATTTTTTAAAATACATTTTCTTCGAGAAAACTAAATCTTAATTTCATGTTATGAATGAATAACAATTGTGTGAGAGATAGGCCGGCCTCAGAATTGTTTTTTTTAAATGTCAGGTACCTTTGACATGGATGAATGTAATCTTAAACGTCCCATTATACTTGGGTAGATTTATGCACATGAAGTACAATAATCATCATTGTACTCTGAAAGTCTGCATCCTTTCCATTATATAACATTTTCCTATGGGTTTTTCTTCACCCCGGGCCACACTGATGTTATGTATATTGTTTCCAACATCTTCGATGAGAGCAATGATGCAAATTGCATTTCTTATGAAAAGTACGATCTTTACAGTCATATGATTTCCTGAAATATTAGAGAATATATTTTTTGTTATTCAATTTTTATTCCAATGTAAAGCAAAAGTTTTTTTATGTTGTAATTTCAAATTATCATTTAATTACATACATTTTGCTTTGTGTCTTTCCAGGTCGATCTGGTCTATGCCAAACCATATAACAGATACAACGAAATCCAATAATGGATTTTGTCAAATTCAAGAAGAGATGTACCACAGGAATCAAAACAAGTGTGCATTGAATACAGATATGAATGAGGGCATTGAGACACCAACCAACTGGATGCCATTTTGGCAGAATAAAAAGTTACAGGAATTGCAAAAAGATTACACCTCAAAAGAACCCCTTACACCCTTTAGCAAATTTTCTATCTCAAACTACAACAATGTAGAACATCCTGATGAAACCAAAAACACATCTTTAACATGGGAATTTAATGGTGACAATAGAAAAGATAACGATAGTTGTTCTGCCCCTATTAGTAATGGAAGTACATGGATAAATGACCCGCATTTGAATACATTGGAGAATAATTGGCCTCGAGGAGATGATTTTACAGATTTGTCATTTCAAAATCCAAATAGACAAGAAAACAACAAAGAAGAACTTGGTAAAGGAGTGTACATTTCAAATAGTGCAACACTGCTTGATCAGTCTCTATCTGTGAAGAAATCAAATAATTATGGTCACTTTAATTTAAATGGTGAACGTGTTGCAAATGCGTTTGAAGTGTTTGGACAGCAACCTGAAAATGAGGAATTCAATCAGGTAGTTGGTGGCAAATACAGAGATGCTGACGATTCCAGCTATTGTAAATCCCTAGAAATTGGTTGTCCAGACTGTGACAATTTATGTGAGGCTCAGGCTACAATAGAATATTCGTGCCAACAATTAAACAATGAAGTAAATCAAATCAGGAAAGCAACAGATGTTTCTCAGGCAAACCTCCAACATAATTTGGGTCAATCATTGTTTGGACAAGCTTCCATGAACCTTGACGAAAATTACTCATTGGATCAAGAAGTATTGACTTCAGATATCTGTGAATCCATGCAGACCAAACATAGAAACGTTCAGCCATCTTCAGTATCGATGGCCCAATTGAGATCCAGTGGCCCCTCTATTTCAGTTAAACAGGAACATGATTCTTACTTGTACCCGGAGATTACAAATAAGGCAACCTTCCACAGTTCAGAAGGTACAAAAGCACAAGTAGAGCATATGGACTCTACGCTTCAAAACCATGTAGACAATAATGTATATTATCAGTCTAGATTTTTGCCCCAGCAACAAGGGGTACGGAGACTTTCTGTGCCTGGTGACTACTCAAACTGTACTTATAACCCGATTTCATCCCTTATGTACTCAAAAAATATTGAGGTACCACCTCAATTGTACAACCATGGAAATCCTATTGGTTATTTCACTGCCGAAAACTGTGGACCACTGGACCTTATGACCGACCAAAATCCAATAAATCAAGTATCTCATATACCATTCCCTCAACCACAGCTCATGAGAGGTTACCATCACAGTCTCGCACCAATGAGGTCTCCGTTTTTGTCACAACCTCAACGAATCAGACTAGATCTGCACAATCCACTTTCCTATACTGATTCACACCCCTGCAATCAATACTTTACATCAAATCAATATGTAATCCCAAGAATGGCGCCTTCTGGATATGGTGTGCCAGTGTTTGTGCCACCCCACCAGACAAAGAATGTGGTTGCCCCATCCTTGCAGCTGCACCTCTGGCTAGAGGCCTGCTATGAGCAGTGGAGAGCTTTGGAAAAGGAGAGAAAAAAGGTTTTCTGTCATAAACACATTCTATCACGGTGCATTACTGTACTTCCATTACACGAAAGCACATTTTAGCCAACAGATATCGAGTTGGTGGTAATAAGGATTTGTATTTTATAAGGTGCTTAAACGCCTCAGGAAATTAATTTCGTCCATCACATCTCACCTCATCCATTTCAATACCCTGATGGAGGCTATCCAATAGACCCCCAAGTGGTAGCTGTCCTTGTGTGGCAAAGGCAAGAGGACGCCAAAAGGCCTTTTGGCGTCCTCTTGTCTAACACCGTTTGAGACGAGGCTCAAAAGAAAGCTGTCTCTGGTGTGGACCAATCAGTTTCAAGGACAATGAATATATTATCAGAGTATGTTTTTTGTTTACATTCTGACCACAAACATTGTGGTTAATGCAGACGTGATTCCTTGTAAAAGGTTTCAGTTTGGTGTTTTAACACCTGTTTTGTTGCCGGAAAAAAAGGGGAAAAACCTATTATCATATTTTGGTACTGGCAAAGGAGGTCCCATGATGAGACTATATCCATTTTACAATGAAGATGTGCCACTAAATGTATGATAGGACCATTTAAATACCCAGGATATCCTAACAGCAATCTTACAATAATACAAAACTCTGCCATAATTGATGTAGTACTGAAATTGTACAGTAGTTACAATGTTTACAATTTTCTTGTGTGATTGGTTTTATGATTCGATACTTTTGGTTGGTTACAATAGAGTGTTTTCAGACTTGGTTATAAATAGGCATTGTAGAAAAAGTTACAATATACTGTTAAATATTTGGTCAATACAAATGGTATACATTACTGTACATGTAAACGTATGTTTGGCACGTGTTCTCCTTGGCAGGGCTGGCAGATCAAATCAATTTAATTTAAATAAACAACACATGCGGTGTGTCACTAATCTTTTTATGCTACTTTTAGGCCGAATTGGAGTTGGCACAGTGCTATTCTAATCGGAGTATGGCTAGCACTGTTGGATACTCTGGGCCACGACTTCCATTTAATCCATCTCGTGTCGACAGACTTATTGTGGACCAGTTAAAAGAACAAGGAAAGGTCTGTCTTTACATGTAATACGTTGTGTAATTGCCTGCAGCTTAAAAAAAAAGGCAATATAAAAAACAAATAGCTCTTATCTTGCGATTGAAACTTTGTTTACGTGATAAAATTTAAGATGTATGTATGTTGAAACATGAAAGAGTAGGCCAAATAAGAGGGTATATATCCCTGGAGACTGTCTCTAGTTGAGGCCCGTCCACCAACAGTGGCATGTGTAAGTATTTTTACATTTTGTGTATGAAAACATGGAAAGTTGTGTCAGAGTGAGGTCACTCTGTGCTTGGCTGTAACTTTACAGGTTTCTTTATACTCATTTAAGAAACTAGAAATGAATATTGGAAAATGAGCTGTTTGCAAATGTTTTTTCAATTATTTTGTCCTGTAATTTGTATTTTAAAATTAAAATGATTTACCCTTCAACTGGAATTCAGGCAAATTTGAGTGGACTACCGTTGACAGCAATCGATTGTCCATAGAAACTAGGTATACAGTATATACATATTGGGGTGAAACTTGATGAAGATAGAATCAGCATATTAAATCATGTGTATATTATATTCCAGGTGGTGGCCCTGCTGAGCAAGATGGAGCGTTTACGCAGCACCCCGCTGCATGCCAATATCTCCACAGCATTAGACAGGCATCTGGAAGCCATCCATAGCTTACACACCGTCCGTAAGGTTGAGATGTCCAACATTGCCTGCAGAAGCAGGCAGACTCCACCACCGTGCAATGAGCAAAGAGGTAACAACATTGACCACGCAATCATTATGATAAGTTGCTGCATATGTCCGATGGCCAAGATATGAATTGAAAAGTTGAAGTGAAGAGGCACCTTTCACTTGTTTACCATGTCGATTCATGTACAGAGCCGTTTTATTTCCTCGACTTATACACCAACAGTGGGTGACCAATGAATAGACTATCCCCCATTATAGGAATATTAAGTTTTCATCACTGGATCAGGGCTGTAAACAGGGGAATGGGCAGTGCCCACAATTAGGGAGATGGCAGATTTAACGACGCATTTATATTTAAGCGATCTAACCCAAAAACAACCTCTATTATGGATATTGATCGCGAATGCCTACATGTTAAACAGTAAATGTCATGCTCAAATTGTAAATGTTGTGGATTTACTCTCCAACACATCAGTGTGCTGAAGTAGTAACTAATTGGCACGTTTTGCTAACGTGACAACCCTTATAATCACAGCAAGAACATTTTCTTGCTGTGGTTTTCACACCTGATGATGATTGCTTGTGTTGCAGTCGAAACGTCGTGAGAATTTTATTGTTTTATATTTTTATTATTTTATTGTTTCCCTTCTACGTGACTTTACCGAAAGAACCAAGAATATGAATCCCTGCAGTCACGAAAGCTTTAAATCAAAAGTGACAACCCTTATTAATTGGCTGTGTCGTGTGGTGGCGGGTTTAACGACACATTTCTATTAAGCGATCTAACCCAAAATAACCTTTATTATAAGTGAGTAAATGTCTTTTGACACTTTTTTCAGACATCGTTGCTATTGCCTCCTCACTGGGCGAACTATACCAGACCACACGGCGAGCACGCACAGCATTCTGGAGTGCTTTGCAAATGACACTGCCCAAGGTACACAAGACATGCCCTGATATGTGGAATGGTGTTATTTCCACTGCTCCTGCAATAACTGATGTGTTAAGTGTTACAGGAATGCAAAACACCAGCGTGTGTAATTCAAATATGAAACAATGTTATTCAAGCAATTACAATAAATAAAAGTATTATTCTCCGAAAAAACCTCAAGTACTGAAAAATAAATAACTAATTCATGTTAGAATGTGTGCACTAATCAAACGAAACTAATGATTGTATTTGGAAAAGTAACGTGATGTTTTGAGACTAAATTGTTGGGAAATATGTAAATGCCGACACAGCTTTGTCTTATTGATGTAACATGAATATTAGTTTTTTTATATTAATAACAAGCAGTTATGGTTACAATTGATGTCCCCAGCCATGCGTAATTTGGCAACTCTCACCACCAAGTACGTTTTCGGTTACTGCTTGCATTTTATTTTTCATTGATATGCATATGCAGCATTCATAATCATTGGCCATAATCCACTGCTGGATGACAGCCTTCCCAAGCCATCGCCATCTCCCTCGGTCCACCAATGTAACAATCCATCTAGCACCTGTAAACGAGCTAATATAATTGCACCACCTCCACACGGTGGTACTCTGAAATGTATTCCTACCTTGGCATATAAATTATAAAATGTATGGAATTGATAGTTGCTATACAGTGGTGTAGAGGCAATGTTGTTAACTGCAATATACAATAATCGTTTTACAGCCACATTGCTAATATACATTTTTTCTTGCCATACATTAATGCATTTATTTGTATTCATGTCGTCCCATTATATTCTAGATAAAAAGAGTTGATTTAGTAACTTAAATATCTCAAAGCCTTTTGTTAATCCACTGTTGATGGTACCGTTATGGGGGGTTGGAGCACCTTACTTCACCATGCTGGTCGGTGCGGAAGGAGGACTGTGGAAGTGGTTTACATATCATTCACCACTGATGTTACCCATGGCCATACATTAAACTCAGGCTGCTGAGATCATAGTCCTGCGCACTAACCACCGCACTGCATTGTGACATGTACTGTACGCTCGATTTTATTGCCACATTTTTTTTAAATTGTAAATGTTCTACGAGGTGCCAGTTTGACTTTCAATTGATTTTATATATGTAGTCAAACTAAGGGTATGTTGATGAAATGATAACATATACAGCTTTACAACAACAAAAACAGACATGGTAACATTTATTCTGCCATGGAAGAGGTTAAATGTGTCTGCCGTTAATACAATCCTGCAAGATGCCTATCATTGCAAGAATGTGACCTGAAGCTAAAAACCAAGCGAAGGTGTTGTGATTCACATTACTGGAATTAAAAATGTTAGATATTTGTAGCTAAATATGTTTTAATTTTTAGCCTTTCTCAATCCAGCAATGGATAAAAAGTTCCCACTCCCATCTGAGTCATGGTTTTTGTTTAACTTAACCATGCAGGAAATTGTTGGGATAGTGAATGGGTGGTGGGCACAACTGATTTTGATATATTTTCTCAAGGATGTTAGTTACGGCTGTGAATCGAATTCGGGACATCAGGTTCATCGTGCAACACCGTTCCACCCCTATAACTTAGTACCTTCGTGATAAAGAGCAGATCACTAGAAATATGGAAACTTTTAATAGTAATGGCTTTGGGGAAGATGCCCATAGTTCCATCTCAAGATTTATTTCCCATGAGTCAATTTAATTAAAATAATAATCATTATGTTACTTGTATCTATTGATTAATGACATAATTAACATGTCCAGTCTTTAAGGCATGCACTTGTTCCTAAATGAAATGATATATCACAGAACTGTCAATAATTGGTTTGTCATGCCACCTCATTAGTTTGTAATGTAAATAATCAAACCAATACTGATATATGTTGGGACGTATGTTTGGCATGTTGTTTTGATAATTTTTCTGTACCAGTAACCAACTAAGACACCCAGCAGGACACATTATTCACAGATTCCATATTGTATGTGTATTGTTTAAGGGAACTGATAGGCTACTTATTTGAGATGCCCAGGGAATGTCCATCCACCCATCTGAGGACATTTCAGATGCGATCAAACGCACTACACAGCTTGGCAATAGCAATGCCCAGATCTGTAATAGTATTTAAGAAAGATTGGCTGCGTACCTCCACAATCATGCATATGCATTAGAATGTAACTGCATAAATGTAAACCTGCAGCAATAACATGCGGCAATTTGTACGTGCATATACGTGATTATGTGCATACATTACTTTGTAGTGGAATCCCCAAACAAAATTGAGGCTCCCTTAATGAGCCAATTCTACAAAAAGCTTTGATTTTCCAACTTAAAAAAAATGTGTAATTATTACAATAACTCAAATGTTACCACAATAATCGTTGGTACTAGTAATTAAATTAAGAATGAAATAAATCACTAAATTAATTAAATTGTATTATAAAAGAAAATAACAGTATGTAGGGAAAATGGCCTTTAAGAGCATACATGCTGTTTTTTAACGGGCTATTTTCTGAAATCTTAGCCTATATGTTTAATTATAAGGCAGCGTTAAGATAGTTGTAAGGTGTTTTCAACATGTGCAATAATTGTGATGTTAATGTAATGGACACATTGTGTGTAACTGAATGGGCCATTTCCGAATGAAAATACAGTAGAGAGAATTTGTTATTCATAATAAAGGTTTTTGGGTTAGATCGCGTTATTTGTAAATGTGTCGTAACCCTCCACCACCCGACACGGCCAATCAGCAAAAATAAGTGTTACGTTGACAAAAGACAAATAACTCACTACTTTAGTCCACCGGTGTGTTGAAAAGTGAATCCACAACATTTACAGTTTGAGTACGACGTTTCGCTAGTAATTACATCCAGCATCATAGGGCAATTCGCCAGAATGGTAAAGCCCTCACTTGCTCCCGGTTTTAAATAGAGCAGCAGGGTGACGTCATCATTTAACTCATTTCAGGTGCAGTGATTTGAGGCGGAGGGGGGTGATTGTAATTATATAATCGATTAGTAATCAGTCAATGGTTATGATAATTACAATACCCCCCCCCACCGCCTCAAATCACTGCACCTGAAATTAGTTAAATGATGACGTCACCCTGCTGCTCTATTTAAAACCGGGAGCAAGTGAGGGCTTTACCATTCTGGCGAATTGCCCGATGATGCTGGATGTAATTACCAGCGAAACGTCGTACTCAAACTGTAAATGTTGTAGATTCACTCTTCAAAACACAGGTGGGCTAAAGTAGTGAATTATTTGTCTTTTGTCAACGTGACACTTTTTTGTTTTTGCTGATTGGCCGTTTCGGGTTGTGGAGGGTTACGACACATTTATAAATAACGCGATCTAACCCAAAAACCTTTATTATGAATAATATTGGTCGCGAACGCCTACGTGTTAGAATTTGTTATTTTAGTTGGATATCTCTAAATGGATTGTTCAGGACTGGGAGCCCCTTGAGAAAAAAAACAGAGCCTGCTCATAATTATGCATGAGAATGCAAATATCAGTGTATCACAATGTGAACACCCTGATTTTTCATGAAACACTACACCTCCGATTAGTACGGTTGGCTATGTTCGGTGCAAAAGAAGTTCAACATACGTACCAATAGTTATGACTATTATGCCATGTCAGGTCATTAGAAAAATGTTGAGAAATTGTTGAAATGAGTTATATTGAGCAGCATTCTAAAATAATATTGAAAAAAGCTGCCCTATTGCTTTTATCACAAAAATGTTTTTTTATGATTATGTTATCTGTTCAGTTGTGGTGTTTATTAAACGTTTTAAACCATTTCAGTCAAAACTGACAATTTGAATCGACTAAGCATGAGTTTTATGTATTGAAATTGTATTGTTTCATTGCCAATGTTATGCTTGAAAATAAAGTTTTCATTATATTATTAGTTTACTGCATTCTTCATTCACATGGTTATACTTTACTAATGTACATGACCATAATTAATGTCTTAATTATTACATGCTTAGCCTTCTTCCCAACACGAGGTTATTGTGTAGTAGAGCTACAATGTATTAAGTTGAGGTGTGTTGTCATCATCATAATCAGCCATGATCAATCCACTGCTGGATAAAGACTTCCCCAAGTCACCAGCATCTCTCACTGTGTTGCAATGCAACAATCCATTTAGCACCTGCACATGAACCGATTTCATTTCTCTATCTCCATAGTGGATGCCCTCCCCGAGTGTTCATACCTTTGGCTGCAACTGTTGTTAATCATAACTAATAGCCATCATCCTTTCCAGCCAAGTGTCCCCTGCCCATCGCTGATCATGATGGTGACAGTGGGGAGGCCCTTGTGCAGCAGTGGCTACATCGTGGCTGTTGATGTTGTTGATAAATGATAGAATACAGGCTGTAAGTGTAATGGCTTTCATTTTATTAAATTGTAACTATTGCAACAGAAAATATAAAACTTCTTCCTCATGTGGTTACAAAAACCTTAGGAAAAGGCATCTTCATAAATATAGCATAACCTCGAAATATCAATACTATGCCTATGTAATATTTATTACATTGCTACATTGATTAATACATTCTAATCATGAATTGTTATATCATGTAAAAGTAAATAAATATGCCCATATCTGCCTCATAGTCTGCTTTATAGTTACAGCATTTTCTGGGTGTCCATAAAGGTATTGTCCATGATTAATCAGCATTCGACAATGGCATGAGCAAAGTGAATAAAACTGCACACGCACACACTTGGTGGTGTGAAGATTTTACATCCCTGTTCACTTGCACATGTCCACCATGGTGTTGGTGACACGCATCGCAACGTCTCTGCTCCGATCGTCTCGAATGCTTCTGTTATGTGCTGTTGAAGATTACTTGAGATTTTCATTTGTTCAGCATATTATTTATCTTTTACATAACACCAACATTCAACTAAGCAGAAAACTGCTGTCCAATTATAATGATTTAACCATAATAGAGGTTTTTGGGTTAGATCACATACATTTTAAGGCTGTAGCCTGATGATGCTAGTTGTAATTATTGGCGAAACGTTGTACTCGAATTGTAAATGTTATGGGTTTACTCTCCAACACACCGGTGTGTTGTACTAGTCATAACGAATTGGCATGTTTTGTTTACATGACAAACTAATTAGCTGTGTCGGGTGGTGGCGGGTTTAACGACACATTTATATTTACGGGATCTAACCCAAAAACCTCTGTTATAGATAATATTGCACGACAACCTTAATGGACATCCTGTACATTTCAAGTACAATATTAAGGTCAAGTAAATTTATAATTGCCAGGATATATATGGTGACTTTATATATATCATAAGATTCCCTTAAGTTAATACAGCAAATAGCATTACACAATTGTTCTTAGTACTGTGCACATGTGAGCTACAATTTTTGATATAATGTGCATCTGCACTTCTTGACATTGGAAGATTTTAGATGTTTCTAATTCTTCTTGGAAGCCTGCACCTTCTGAATCTCCTGTAAAAGCCAAAACAAAATAAATTAGAAAATATACTTGTCAATTTCATCATTATGCACTTACAAAATGCAAAAGAAATCATAATAGTTTGGTACTTTAACGTTCTAACTGTGCCGACAATACAGGTTGTATAGGACAATGTCGCATATCCGATTATCACACGTGCATCCTGAACAATTAACTGCCCATGTGTAGTACAGTATTTGTGCATGGTGTGACTGGCTATGTCTATATATACTCTGAAAACCAGACATTTCTTGAAATGTCACCTATTACATAGTTGTGTCACACCTCAGATAACACGTCCTTGAGCTTGTTGTATGCCTCATCCAGGTCATCGTTAATTATCACCGCATCGAAGATTCCTGGTTCCTTGCCTGTAATAGAGAATCATAAAACAAAAGGTAAGACTAAACTTGGAAAATCATCATCATAAGATTTATTGTGACTTATTTTTTTATGCTTGCCATCATGCAATGTCACTCTCTGTGGGAGCACAGAATCACAGTAGAACAATTGAATTTGCGGCACTGCCCTCTGCTGACCAATGCGTAGCCCTGAAGCCGCCTACAACACAGACATAGTGGTCACCTCTTAAGGTTCAACTCTCCTTCACTTTTCGAGGCCTGATGTAATCAGGTGCATCCCAGGTAAACGTGGTCGTGGGTATGGGTCGATCAAATAAGTCAAGTAAAATGGCGGACACACGTGATAACTCTGTAGTCAGTACTTACTGATCTCCAGGTCAGCCCTTGCAGCTGCCAAGCGTTTCTGTATGCTCTCCTCCGACTCCGTCTTACGGCCACGCAGACGCTCCTCCTAGAGCCGATGACATGGAAAGCACTCACGCGTGTCAATTATATAAAGATCTGCATATGCACACACAAAAATTGGTGCTTGAAAGATTCAATGGATCACGAATATTAGGTCGCTGCAAGCCCTCAACCCTTTCCTGTTGGGAGACGACTGCAAGTTGCAGGGTGGGGTTTCCCGTTCACCGCTGAAACTGGAAAAGCGCGAGCGGCTCAGTGTTAATTTTATTTAGAGAGGCGGAGTGCCGTTGTTTTTAAAGACGTACTCACCGCGGAGAACTGCAGCGACACGACCGCACTCTACGATAGCTGACACCAAACTGTGCCACACGCCCTCTGACATGGCCTTGTGGGAGTCCTTGGTGCCGATTAAGTTATTTTATTTATTTCTTGCAGTTCTGTTTTAGAACGGAATCGTGAGTAAAAACTGATAAAGTACACGTACGTTATCAGAATGGGTTAATGGTTTAAAGGTTAACAGTAGAATATTTAAATTAATTCTGTCCCTGTTTTTTTCTCTCCAAGCTTTGGCTAACCTTTTGTACAGGTTAGCCCCCCGCTACAGACAAACACACACGGAGCGAATGCATTAACACACTTTCATCCGTAGCAGGAAAGTGTTATGAAACAAAATAATTATGTTGGCACACACCAGTGCTTCTATTGAAGGTGGGTGTATGGAGAGGTAGAGGGGGTTCAAGGTGGTACGCTTCATGCTGCGTACGCCCTGGATGTCCAAGTCCAGGATGCAGATTTGGTTATGGTCTCGGATTACCTCCACTGCTTTCTTACTGCGCGCCACATCAACACAACACACACGAATTAGCGATACTATTATTAACGCTGCCAGCAATACGCTGGGTGAAACCAGAAAAAAGTCATTCGGAAGTGACGTCGCCCGTGAGGTCAATGTCCTATCATCGTCAGCAGCAATGATCTATCCACTGCTGGATAAAGGCCTCTCAAAGCTGTGGTGCCATCAGTAACAATCTTGTGATGCAACAATCGATCTAGTTCCCAAATTAACTGATCTCATCAATCCATCTCCACGGCGTTCGTCCTCTCCGCTGTTCCCTACTTTGGCTGCCACTCCATTGTTAGTCGTTATCACCGACCATTATCCCAAGGGACATGTCCTGCCTAAGCCCACTTCCTTTTTTTTTAACTAACAGTCAAAATAATGTCTCTAACTTGCTTATCTAATTCATATGTTCCTCTTCCTGTCACTCAGTGCGTTTCCAATCATGGTTCTCATGGGCTGTAAAAATAAACATCAGGTGTGTACGTTGAACTTCGTTCACACCGTACGTAGCCAACCGCGCTAATCGGAGGTGTTTCCAAAAGACACACTCTGAACAGATGCTGTATAAAGCTGCGAAGGCAACTGTGCAAAGCGTGTATTTGTTGTTCGGTAAAACTTAACCCTGTCCTGGGTGTGACACTAAACTCGATCCTGTGATGGTGTCACCTAAACAACACTGTTGAGGCAGCAAATGCTCAAGAACTCTAGCGCAGTGTGGTAAAAACTTCAAATCAAGATATAAACAATTTTTATTTTACCAGGTAAGGCCCAATGAGCGATATAGCTCTCTTTCAGAAGCGCCCTGGCCACACATGATAGCCTAACAAAGTGGCTTAGCATGTGGAAATTTACAGCAGTAGCCAAATACTCTAAACACACGTTGATTCTAAATGTGACCACGGTGAGATAGACACGCAAACTCCAAATATACAGCAGGCGTTTGGGTCGGGATCGACCCCACGACCTCCCGTATACCAGGCGAGGGAGTTAACGTCTCACCACCGTGGCGTGGTGGTGTCAGGGAGGGGGGGGGGGTGCGCGTCTGGATGGGAGGGAACTAAAGCCAAGCATCTTCCCTTGGAGGGGTAACACTTGAGAGAGAGAGAGGATTATCCACGCGACTCACCTGGTGCCGTACAAATTCCCTGAGAACTCGGCGTGCTCTATAAACTCATCCGCCAAGATGCCCTTCTCCATCTCCTCCCGACAGACAAAGTGGTAATCTACACAGAGGTCACATTAAATGAATGTTGAACTTATATGTAGCGGGGGGGGGAAGGGCAACGAACTAAACACACTAAAGCAGTTCTAAATAAATGTGTTTATGTATGTAGAAGATTACATAGTGTTATGAGCTGCTGTGGACTGTGGGCCATGATTTTATAGTGATAATAAACAGAAAAGGAAGGGTTCGATCTTGCCATGTAAAAGTGAAAGACAACTATTTTCGCCATCAACTCTCAAGATAGCAAGGTCTCAGCTTCAATGGCATAGACATGTGTTTAGAATGCCACCAGAATGCACTGCCCAACTGATAGTGATTTCAAAATGAGCTGCCCAGACCATGGGGAAAGGCTAGAGACAAAACAAAGATCCCCCGTATAGCCTTAGCAGACTGTTGGGGCAAGTGCTGTTAGCGAGCATCTATGAAGGCTGGCATAGCACACGAGGGGGTGGGTGGCCGCCTTTGACTCCCTGATGGCGATGTTAACACAGGTACTCATTGAACGCTCAGTCAACCTAGGGGAGGCCAAAGACCGGTTAAGATAATCGTCACTGGTGTTGGTGAGTGGGAATCGAACTCGGGTCACCGGGTTTGTAGCGCAGCGCGCTATTTGCTACCCAACCACTCCCCACATGGCTAGAGACACACACATACGCACACACAGGATTCCCTATTTTAATTTAAATCAACGCTCTCTTCGGCGCATCGTGCGACTCTGTAGCTATAATGAGGCGCATGCAGTGTGTAATGAGACTTTATGTGTACTTGAAAATACGGACTGTGGTAGGCCGAGAGATAAATTATGGAGTTCTGTGGACGTCTATGTTTCGAAGATGTTGAATTATGGATCAAGGTGGAAAATCATGACAGGTGGAAGAGACTTAGTGGCGGAGCTGTCTACCCAACAAAAAGAGACACACGTGCGTCTGAAAAATAATTGAATGAACATTTTGAATGATGGAAAGTCAAAACTGGTGCTGCTGGAACAAATGCAGCTGGGAAAAAAAAAATTCGTTCTGGTATGCTCAGGCTGATGGACTAAAACTTGATTTTCTTAACACATTTCATATAGCAAGAAAAAAACAGTAAAGTCTATTTATTTGCATTACACATCAGATATGCCGACTGCTTAGAAGCCACTTGTACCCGAAGAGACGGGACACCATCTGTGATAAAGGTGAGGCATGCATCAAATGATAACTACCTTTGCCGTCAACTTCTCCTGCTCTTGGATTTCTCGTTGTATCTGTGAGAATAAAACACAACATTCAGTTGAACTTTCTTAGCCGCAATACATATACACAGACTAACACAAACACTTGGCTCTTTGCAGAACTGCACGGGTGCTTTTTGGGTCTTGATCTGCTAACAGCTTGGCCACCCCTGAGTTGTAAGTCAAACGAAAATGTGCACTCGGAGAGATGTGACCTACAGCGTAGCTCTCCCATGTGTTGGGTTGTTGCCGCGCGTCGTTTCAAGGGGATGTGCGACGTTACGCTCCCCTCGCTGGGAGCTTCTACGGGCTTCACGTAGGACACCATGGAGCTCTCAACAAGTGGAGCGATACACGCTGGGCATCCAGTCGAACAGAATGTGCTACAACACAGTGTTCTTCACTGATTTTCAGAGGGGGCGGGGGGGGCACTTTCGCCGATAAGACATCATTGGTGCGAGTGGCCGCCGCCACACATTTGAAACAATTGGGGTTTGACAGCAGCACGATGATGGGGGGGGGGGGGGGGTGTTGTCACGTGTTGTGTATTGTTGGGGGCCGTACGTCATAGGCCGTGCTAAAGGCCACCGGGGCCGCCAGTAGCCCCGCGGGCCTTGCAATGAAGAACGCCGCGCTACAATCTTGAAACATTATTTCTTTAGAACTGCTTTGTGTTTAGTGTGCTGCCCTTCCCCCCGCACCTCCGATTAGCACTGTCGGCTACGTGCGGTGCGAAAGAGGTTCAACATGCATACAACTTTGGGATCAGCAACAGAGGTGGGGGACACGAGGAAAATCCCTCTCCCACCCCCCACGGATAAATGGATTTGCACACGAAGATAATGGACAAGATTTGTTCGTGTAAGTCTGCCTAAGTACATGAGTTACTATTTATAAAGTATTATAAAGCTCACATCTACATGTCTATTGGGGCCAACTAAAGAATACACGTAAAAAAACTCAGGAGTTGCTTTGTCACACATCATGTTGCTGATACACTCTGATCATGAACAGATGTCATGGACTCCTTATGCAGCACAGTGCCGTCGAAAGATGTGTGAAGGACCCTAACCAATTAGCCATGCAGCCACTACTACTATCCCTCTCACGAGCTCTAAACAACTAGCTAACCGGCCATTGTACTAACCCTTCTACTGACCTTAACCAACCAGCCAACCAGCGACTAGTACTCACCCGTCTACTGACCTTAACAAACCAGCCAACCAGCGACTAGTACTCGCCCTTCTACTGACCTTAACCAACCAGCCAACCAGCCACTAGTAGTAGCCCTTCTGGCCCTAATCGACCAACCAGCCCCAGGGGTCGGCAAGCTGCTGCTCCGGAGCCGATTGCGGCGACTGTTTAAGGACTGCTTCCTCGTGACGTTATTCAGATGCAAAGCGGCTCTTGAAATATTGATTTTCTTTCACCGAATTCGAAAAAAAATGTCTCTTCTTGTTATTTTGGTTGCCGACCCCTGAACTAGCCAATGGAACTATCCCTCCCACGGACTGACAAACTAGCGAAAAAGCCACTAGCACTCGCCCTCCTGTGACCCGTATCAACCAACTATCCAACTAGCCAGTGGTACTATCTCTCCAAATGACCCTACCCCAATCCAAGTGTATACTTGTATACGAGGCAGTGGAGTCGCGAAGTGTGCCGGCGTGTGCGCGCGTGTTGACGTGCACGGGTTGGCGTACGCGACACACTGAAGCCGAAGACATCGGCGTACTCCTGCATGAGACGCTTCACCAGCGTGCTCTTCCCTGCGCCCGACGGACCACTCAGCACAACCGGGCGAGGGCCCATCATTCCTGGAGAGACAGCAAGGCACATGTGGTGGCGGCAGCGGCACAAAGCACGTTGCATCAGCGCTCGCATCGGCATTGTCTCACACGCGCCAAGTCAGTGCGGACACACGCGTCGAGGATGACTGAATATGTAAAATCAGGATGATGATGAACCTATGGGCCGTGACTTTAGAGTTTATCTGTCGCTACTGCGTAGGTTGTTTGCGGTTGTGCCGTGTAGATCTCAGATGAGCTCTCTGGGTGTACCGAGTATTTTTTGTTTTTAGTTTGTTGTCTTTCCACGCACCTCTGAAGAGCACGGTTGGCTACGTATGGTGCGAAAGAAGTTCAACGTACGTACATACATAGCTCTCAAATTAACTTTCTGGGTGTCCTGAGTATTGATCGACACGATGTCTGATGTTTCACTCCAGGTGCTGGGAGCAACATCAGTAGCTGATTCTAAATGCTACTGCGTAGGTTTTCGCGGGAGCACTGTTTAGCTCTCCAATGAGTTTCCACGTTGAACCGCGTGTTGTTGGTCGGCACGATGGTCAACGTTTCGTTCCATGTTCCTGAAAAGCTCCCAGGACGTGGAGAGAAACATTATACTATGCCAATCTATACATGGCACAACATACCTGTCAACCCCTCATCAGTGCCTACCTTATTACAGGACATTTCAGACCTTATTGGTCACCCCGTGCCCCTTATTAATCTCAAAATTCATCCTACAAAGTCCCATCACATGGGAGAAACACAAAACAATAAAAAACATTTATGTTTTTAACTCAATTTCCCTGTACAAGAACATGGGTCAACCGTATGAGTTGACAGGTATGGTACACCCAACCAAACGTAAGAGCGTTATGTGGAACTCCACCCCTTTGCACATCCGCAACATCAAATGCCCTCTGAGTTTTAATAAACATCTGTTTGGTCAGGCTGTCGAGCAGCTCTGAGCTTGGCTCCGCACCTCTGAGTTTACAACTTGTCCGCAAAAGCTGGTGCGTCAGAAATGTCATCATCATTATTATTCACATCAAACAGCCTGTGGCCAAAATATTCCGACCAATTATCTGCGTTTTTAATGCTGGTTCAAGTCTCCAAATTTTGAGCAATACTTTTAATCAACTTGGCCAGTTTTTTTTTATGGGGTCAGTTCCTAACAGTAACTCAATTTCAAACGAAATTTTTGTGTGTACGAGATTATTTTTACACAAGTTACCGGGCTGCCTCCCTATCCAATTACAGGAAGATGGAGCGACCCACCACCTAGGGAAGGTGGTCTCAGGGCTGTCAGACATATGTTTAATGAAAACAATACTCGGATACATTTTTATCTTCGTTAGTGAGGGAAAAAAAAAAACACTTCGACTTGACTCTCAGGTCCGCTAAACTAAAATATATATATAAAAAAAAATATTTTACCAGCTAAGGCCCACTGAGCTATACTGCATAGCTCTTTTTCAGAAGCGACCTGCCCACAAATGATCGCCCAACCCAAGTGGCTCATTCACGTGGAAATTTACAGCAGCCAAATAATCTGAACGTGTGTCGATTTTTTGAATGTGGCGGGTAAACACGGAAGACCCGGAGTAAAATCCATGCGACCACGGGGAGAGAGAGACACGCAAACTCCAAACATACAAGCGTCACAGGGACAGGATCGAACCCACGACATCCTGCATACCAGGTGAGGTAGTTAACATTTTATCACTATATGGTGATCTCACAGTGCACTGGGAACGGTCAACCATGCCAATGGAGCAGCACCCTCCTGAAAATAGAGCCTTGAGACCCAATGAGGTTTTCCTGGGTAAATAATGGGGCATTATTTAACATTAGTAAGACAGCCTGCAGCAGGCAACCGAGTCGTTTCTTATCAACAATATAGGATCTAGTGATCTTTGTTCCCCCCCTCCCCAGTAATAACATCTTCCATTAAGATAAGGTTGCAGATGTATGCATGCTGGTTTTTAAACCGATTGCAACCAATATTAAAATACACGCTTGAGTGTATGCAGAAACACAATATTTTAGTTACACGTGGACAAATGTGCGGTATCTGCAGCGCTGCCATTGATTGGTATCAAGCAGTTGAACTGAAGGAGATTTACACTTTTACACGTAATTATTTGTTGAGTGATAAGTAATGGTGTGCAGGAGTAAGCGCAGCAGTTCACATACTGCGGCTTTGAACCCGACGACCTGAGTTTGATTCCCGTCCACAGGTAACATCAGCTGCGAGTGAAATATTAACCGGTTCTGGGCCCTTGTCCCTACACCAACCGGCGCCAACCAGGACGGTGAAGTGTGGGCAAATAATCCCACGTGATGAGGCGGCGTCACTTGATGGAACAATCAAAATTTCCCACGTGATGATGATAAACCACTTTGAGGAGCTGTCATTTGTGGCCAGGTCGTGTCTGAAAAAGAATATCATAGCTCGGTGAGCTTTACCTGGTAAAATACAAATACATGTTGACTTAAAGCTTTCGTGACTGCAGGGATTTCATATTCTTTGGGTCTTTCGGTAAAGTCACGCAGATAGGTTAAAAGAAAATTTAAAAAAATTAACAAACAAAAAAACATGTTTCGATCGCAACACAAGCGTTTGTCATCGCTTGTGTTGCGAACGAAACGTCAGTAGCTTTTTTGTTATTTTCTTTGAACCTATCTACGCGACTTTACCGAAAGAGCCAAATAATAAAAAAATAGTTTAGTTTCATTTGCATTTTTGTAAGTGATTTGTTTACCTTTCCCATACTTTGCACTCCTATGGTGTTTTTTTTTGTATCGTTTGTTGTTGTAACGTTCTGACCCGCCCCTACTTTTTTAACAGTCGAAGTGTTGTCACTTTTGCCGTCGTCATCACGATCAAATGACCCATGTGGATCTCTCGCACAGAAGCGCAACCCCTACACGCTAAAAAAAACCGCCCCCGCGGAAGCGGATATCACAGAGCTACCGCCCGAGATCCCTTCAAGGTCCCAATTTCAAACACCCGCTCTCTTGCCATTTTAAGAGGAAGTGTTCGTGGCGTGAAAATTAAAAATGACATTTTGATTCTCGTGGCTGGAATGCAGCCAAATCAAGTGCAGCACCACACTTAATTAACGCGATGGTTTGTTTGTGTGCAGTAGTCATTGGTGACTGGGCTGTACCGAAATCAATTCAATACACTTGGGTTTTAACTCAGGCTCTCAGTGGACCTCTGGGTCACCCGGCCACCTTTTGTAATTGGTCCCGATGCAACAGTGAAGAGGAACAGATCAGATTAATGTGCTTAGTGCACTGGATGTACACCGTGGGTTTATTATCCACGCAACGTCACATTTGAGAGTGGAAAGGGTGGTATCGAGTAAAGGCAGGAAGCGTGAACTTGGTAAACCCGTAGGCCGATGCTCACCCCGAGCCCTCATTACTTTGATAGTGCATTGTCTTTGAGCTGTGTGACGCCTTTTGGCGTCATCTGGTCGAGCACCAATTGGGTCCAGGCTCAAAAGAAAGCCGTCCCTTGGTGTGGACCAATCAGTTTCAAGGACAATGCATATATTATCATAGTATGTTTTTTGTTTGCATTTTGACTGCAGGTATTGTGGTTGATGCAGACATGAATCCTCGTAAAAAGGTTTAAGTTTTGTTGCCAGAAAAAAAGGGGAAAACCCTATTATTATTATTATTACTATCGATTAATACTTATTATCTTTAAGTCAACCAAATGTTCCCACGTGCCAATCGCGCACGAGCGTTATCTCACTTTGCTTCCACGGTGTTGTCAGTCACGTTGGGCACGTGCGGCGATGCGGTTCGTCCAACCTTATTGTTCAGTGCGTGCTTTCGTGTGGAGCAAACGCCACGAATGATCTTATTTACCGTATCGAATGCGTTCGCTTGCTCGGAATTACATTCTTCTTCTTTCGTACGGCTGGTGTAGACGCAGAGCAACAACTACGATTTTACCTCCAGGTGGTCAAGCCAGATAACCGCGTTAGGAGCAGCGGAGCGAATCGCTGTAATGTCTCCTTCGTATTTGTGGATCGGGAATTGAGTCGTTGTACGTCGTTACAGTCTCTGTTCTGGATGACCCACAGTCGCACACGACTGGAGAGTTTTCAATTTTCCATTTTGTGCATCGGGTATTCGCATCTGCTGCAGCCATGGTTTGTGCAGTGGAATGCGGTTTAGAGTGGACTATGAGCCTCACGGAAGATCAAAACCAGGTACTTAAATTGAGAGACAGCAACAGGAAAGCGTGGATTTGAGAACGTACGCTGCGTTAGCGACGTCCTTCTAATCGTTTTAAGAAAGGAGAGTTGGGCTTTGACAGGAACGGTCATGGCCGATGGTGAATAATAATAATGTGAGTGACGGTCAAGGAATGGAATGCGTCCAGGAGGATTTCCACTGAGGAGATAAGACAATAAAATCAGAGAGTAAATTTACAACATTAACAATTCGAGTACAACGTTTCGCTGGTGATTACAACCGGCTCCATCAGACGATAGCCTGGATTTACTCTCCAACACACCGGTGTGCTGAACTAGTAACTAATTGGCCAGTTATGTTTACGTGACAAACCTTACTAATTGGCTGTGTCGGGTGGTGGCGGGTTTAACGACGCATTTATATTTACGCAATCTAACCCAAACAAAACTTTAACAATGAAATTAGTTCACGCGCTGGTTCTGGGTGAGAGATGGCGGTGGCTTGAGAAGGTCTTCATCCTTGATCTAGCAGTTGGATTGATCATGGCTGAACCATGTCTCCGATTGAAGTGCACTACCCACAGACAGAAAGGATGCCATGAATGATTTCCAATGCTAATGTTATAGAGCCAGATATTTATAGACCACCTTTGTACATGACATCATCGGTACTCATTATTATTTTATAAATGTATTTTATCCTAGGGACTGCCGATAATTCGAATCTAATGCACACTAAATTCACCCCGTGTGCATGAGCATTGCAACAACGATGCTTGGAAAAAAATCAATGATGTAATGACACAAAGATCAATGATGTAATAAGTTTAAAACCCTTTGTTGGATGAAGGTCTTCCCATGCTGTCGGTGACGGGGAGGGGGGGTTGTTTGACCATACGTCACCACGCTGGTGAGTGCAGATCGGTGACGGAGGACACAGGATCCCAGGAATGGGTTCAGTTATCGCTCGGCAATGATGTTAACCACGGCCAAGAGTCGAACTGAAGCCTCCAGGTTCGGAGGCAGTGTGATAACCACTATGCCACCACCGCACGCACAATACAAGTACCTTCTCAAATTACTTAAAGTTGACAGTTGTCCTCTTAAGAAGGTAAACGCAGTACTGGACTGCAATACATTTCAAGATTAATATATAATTAAACACAGGCTGACCAAAACATTTTTTCATGATGCTACTCGTGACACTCCCATGTGATAGGAATAAAAAAAAATCGTAACGGGATTTTTATTTATTACAAAAGCTGTGAAGTGCGTAAGGAGGCGTGGAGAGATGGGTGCCTGGGATTGCGGCAAGTGGACTGAGTGCATAGGAAGCGTTGCTAGAAGGGACGGATCGCCGGTGGTCGGACAAATGACAGAACGGCAGCCAAACGAGGGAGTACGCGCAAGAGGAAGTCCACTGCGGCGATGAATACAATTGGGCGTCACGGTGGCGAGATGTTTACTACCTTGCCTGGTATGCAGAGGGTCGTGGGTGCGATCCCGACCCTGACGCCTGTGAATTGGGAGTTTCCATGTCTCTCTCTCTCTCCGCGTGGTCGTGTGGATTTTACTCCAGGTCCTTCGGTTTTTCCCTCCACATTTAGAACCAATGTGGATTTCGAGTATTTGGCTACTGCTATAAATTTCCACGCAACAAGCCACTTCGTTGAGCTATAATTTGTGGCCGGGTAGCTTCTGAAATAGAGCCACACAGCTCAGTGTGACCTTGCCTGCTAAAATAAAAAAGTTTAGCCTAGTAAATTAAATCGGCTTACTTGAGCGAGCTAGATTGACGCGCCCTAAGCAAGCACACTTACAATCATATCCCTCCGGGCTCTGCTGTAGTAATAATAATCACATCAATGCAATTTGTAATGCACGCAGTATTTCACAAGACATTAATGACCGTGACTCTGAGATGTACCAGCCAAACTCAGCGTTGCTCGAAAGCCGCTGGGGAAGGTGGTGGTGGTGGGTGGGGGTCTTTAAGTGTGTCTTCAAAAGCGGCGCATATTGAATGCTGTGAAATTGCAGTGGTAACTCGTTAACTCGTTTCTTGAGAACTGCTTTTTGAGTTTATTTTGTTGTCCCCCCCCCCCCCCGCCGCACCTTCGATTAGCTCGGTTGGCTACGCACAGCCCAAAATAAGTTTAACGTACTCTTTCGTTCTTTCGGTAAAGTCACGTAGAAAGAAAATAAATTAAATAATAGAATACGTCTCAGAGGCGTTGGGTCTCTGTGGGTCTCTCTCTGCTTGTGTGTCTCCGTGTCTGTGTTTAGTCTCTCTCTCTCAAATTTATCAATCTTTGGAAGAACGTTAATCAACCAGGTGGGGGTGTTGACTGTTGTGTTAGCCGACTCTCTGTGTTGTATTGAATTGTATTTCTACGTTCACTAGATTCGTTTTCTACCTGATGACGGTTGCTTGTGTTGCAATCGAAACGTTGTTTTCCATTTTTTTATTTTGATTTCTTTCTACGTGACTTTACCGAAAGAACCAAAGAGTAATTCCTGCAGTCACGAAAGCTTCGAATCAAGTTTGGAGTTTAACACAGTATGTATGTTGTACTCCTTATGGCCTTGCCTCACCAGTGTTAGACCAAAGAACACCAAAAGGCAAACAGGACAAGGACAATGCAAATATCAAAGCATTAATGGCTCGGGTCGAGAAGTTTAAGCAATGGGACCCTTTCCGCCAGCATCAAGATGATGAAAACATGAATAAGCCTATGAATTTTTCATCATCTTAAGGGTGGCAAAAAGGGTCCCATAGATATTTCTATGAGGCACCAGTGCTATCAAACGCTCTCGATCCACCTTAATTTTAGTTTCTCACCGCATTCAAGCGGGGTCTTGATTGCAATAATAAATCCAAGAACAGAAAGGCATTTGCACCAAAGGAACATTCATTGGAAAGTGTGATTAAAAAATATCCTTTACAATATAATTACAATTTACCACCCTGTATAACTGAATGATGAAAAAAACACACGTATTGGAAATATAACACTTTAACAATAATCAAAAGCAGTGTTTTTGCCAATCCACTGCTGAATTTAGCCCTCCCCTTGGCTGTGTTGGTCGTGGGGGTTGTTTGACCAAACTTCACGCTGGTTTAAACACGTAGCAGTAGGCTTTCACGACCGATATCATCACAGAGTTTTTTTTGGGGTTAGATCGCATAAATATAAATGTGTCGATAAACCCGCCACCACCTCCCGACACAGCCAATTAGTTAGGTTTGTCACGTACACAAAACATGGCAATTCGTAACTAGTTCAGCACACTGAGAGTACACGAATCGTAAATGTTGCAGTGGGTTTACTCTCCAACACACCGGTGTGCTGAAATGGTAACGAATTGCCATGTTTTGTTCACGTGACAAACCTTACCAATTGGCTGCGTAGGGTGGCAGCGGGTTTAACGACACATTTATATTAACGCAATCTAACTCGGGAAAAAAGCCTATATTACGCATACTTTACGCCTTTGTCAGCGCGGTTTGGTGAAGAACCCATGGACTTATTCAGACGTTTCTCGTCACTGATGGTGGTAGCTCTGGCCAATAACGGACCTCATGCGGCCTGAGACAAACAACGCACGACAGCCAAAAAGTGAACGAAGTAGACGGAGCGATGAGATCGGCTCACGCGCAGGAGGAGTGCGATGGATGGTGAGCAGCGCCGCACCACGATTGATGGCGACGGCGTTGGGGCGGGGGAGGCCTTCATCCGGCTAGTGGATGGGCAATGGCTGATGATGATGATAATTACTGTTAACGGTGATTTTAAAATGAACTCAGCCACGACGGTCTTCTAAAACAATAAATCGAAGCCCTTCGAAACGCGCGCGTCTGATATGACGCGTACTCACCGTTAGCGGTGGTCTTCTTCTCGTGGACCTTTCAACAAGTGTGCGCCCGTCCGTGTGCGCACGTGTATGTGTGTGGGTGTGCCTCTGGCTAGCAGCTCGTTGTTTACTGTAATTATCACCTAGACCACCGGCAACAAAAAAAAGGAAGAGCACTTGCCCCTCCCCGGAGTACCTTCTGTGAGCTTGCGTGCACTTGCTGATCCGATTGCAGTGGATTATTGTAACCTCTGTTCCAATTCCCGGCGGTTCACCCTTGTGTGTGACGAGCCCAGGAAATCAGCAGCGTTCACGACAACGTGATCATTTTAAGGATATATTTTTTTAACACATCACGTCTAAGACTACGTAAATCTGCAAGCGATTTTTTTTTGTTTTACAAAATAATACTCATAAAAGAGGTGAATTGGCCGGGTTGGCTCGGAGAACGGAGCGCTGAGCCGACACCGCTGCCAAGGCTGGGGTTTGAATTTGGGTTTCAGCCGCCCGTGATTGAACCAGGTTTCTCGAGTGTAGTGAGTTGATGGTCTTAGCCCAACAGCAATGACTGCACAACAACAAAACAATATTTACATTAAATGTACTTTTGCTTTTCATTTGGATAAATTCCAGATCTGTGAAATTAAAGTATACGTGAGATTGTCATGCAATGGACATTTCTCTGTGGCAGGGCGGGTGGGAAAATGCACACTTTGAGTGTGGATACAAGAGGACACTGGAGACTGACAGCTCAGTCCTGCGACAGCTCATTCCTGTGATAGCTCAGTCCTGTGATAGCTCAGTCCTGTGATAGCTCAGTCCTGTGATAGCTCAATCCTGTGATAGCTCAGTCCTGCGACAGCTCAGTCCTGCGACAGCTCAGTCCTGCGACAGCTCAGTCCTGCGCCAGCTCAGTCCTGTGACAGCTCGATCCTGCGACAGCTCAGTCCTGTGACAGCTCAGTCCTGCGACAGCTCAGTCCTGCGACAGCTCAGTCCTGTGATAGCTCAGTCCTGCGACAGCTCAGTCCTGCGACAGCTCAGTCCTGTGACAGCTCGATCCTGCGCCAGCTCAGTCCTGCGACAGCTCATTCCTGCGACAGCTCGATCCTGCGACAGCTGTCCTGCGACAGCTCAGTCCTGTGATAGCTCGATCCTGCGACAGCTCAGTCCTGTGACAGCTCAGTCCTGTGACAGCTCAGTCCTGCGATAGCTCAGTCCTGTGATAGCTCGATCCTGCGACAGCTCAGTCCTGTGACAGCTCGATCCTGCAACAGCTCAGTCCTGCGACAGCTCAGTCCTGTGACAGCTCGATCCTGTGACAGCTCAGTCCTGTGACAGCTCAGTCCTGTGATAGCTCGATCCTGCAACAGCTCAGTCCTGTGACAGCTCAGTCCTGTGACAGCTCGATCCTGCGACAGCTCGATCCTGCGACAGCTCTGTTTTGTGATAGCTCGGTCCTGCGACAGCTCAGTCCTGTGATAGCTCTGTTTTGTGATAGCGCCATCTCTTCTCCCTAGGCCATCCTTCTGCTACTCCTTGCCGCCATCTACGACCAGGCCTACCCCTATCACGATGGCACCGCGGTGGCTAGATGTTAACTACCCCGCCTGGTATGCAGGAGGTCGTGTGTCGATCCCGACCCTGATGCCTGCTGTATATTTGGAGTGTGCATGTTCTCCCGATGGTCACGTGGATTTTTGCTCCAGGTCTTCCGGTTTTTCCCTCCACATTTAGAAACATGCGTTTAGAGCATTGGCTGCTATAAATGTCCACGTGATAATAAACCACTTCGTTGAGCTATAATTTGTGGCCAGGTCGCTTCTGAAAAAGAGCTATATACAGTGAGGGAAAAAAGTATTTGATCCCCTGCTGATTTTGTACGTTTGCCCACTGACAAAGAAATGATCAGTCTATAATTTTTAATGGTAGGTTTATTTGAACAGTAAGAGACAGAATAACAACAACAAAATCCAGAAAAACGCATGTCAAAAATGTTATAAATTGATTTGCATTTTAATGAGGGAAAGAAGTTTTTGACCCCTCTGCAAAACATGACTTAGTACTTGGTGGCAAAACCCTTGTTGGCAATCACAGAGGTCAGACGTTTCTTGTAGTTGGCCACCAGGTTTTCACACATCTCAGGAGGGATTTTGTCCCACTCCTCTTTGCAGATCTTCTCCAAGTCATTAAGGTTTCGAGGCTGACGTTTGGCAACTCGAACCTTCAGCTCCCTCCACAGATTTTCTATGGGATTAAGGCCTGGAGACTGGCTAGGCCACTCCAGGACCTTAATGTGCTTCTTCTTGAGCCACTTCTTTGTTGCCTTGGCTGTGTGTTTTGGGTCATTGTCATGCTGGAATACCCATCCATGACCCATTTTCAATGTCGTGGCTGAGGGAAGGAGGTTCTCACCCAAGATTTGACGGTACATGGCCCCGTCCATCGTGCCTTGGATGCGGTGAAGTTGTCCTGTCCCCTTAGCAGAAAAACACCCCCAAAGCATAATGTTTACACCTCCATGTTTGACGGTGGGGATGGTGTTCTTGGGGTCATAGTCAGCATTCCTCCTCCTCCAAACACGGCAAGTTGAGTTCATGCCAAAGAGCTCCATTTTGGTCCCATCTGACCACAACACTTTCACCCAGTTGTTCTCTGAATCATTCAGATGTTCATTGGCAAACTTCAGACGGGCATGTATATGTGCTTTCTTGAGCAGGGGGACCTTGCGGACGCTGCAGGATTTCAGTCCTTCACGGCGTAGTGTGTTACCAATTGTTTTCTTGGTGACTATGGTCCCAGCTGCCTTGAGATCATTGACAAGATCCTCACGTGTAGTTCTGGGCTGATTCCTCACCGTTCTCATGATCATTGCAACTCCATGAGGTGAGATCTTGCATGGAGCCCCAGGCCGAGGGAAAGTGACAGTTCTTTTGTGTTTCTTCCATTTGCGAATAATCACACCAACTGTTGTCACCTTCTCAGCAAGCTGCTTGGCAATGGTCTTGTAGCCCATTCCAGCCTTGTGTAGGTCTACAATCTTGTCCCTGACATCCTTGGACAGCTCTTTGGTCTTGGCCATGGTGGAGAGTTTGGAATATTATTGATTGATTGCTTCTGTGGACAGGTGTCTTTTATACAGGTAACAAGCTGAGATTAGGAGCACTCCCTTTAAGAGTGTGCTCCTAATCTCAGCTCGTTACCTATATAAAAGACACCTGGGAGCCAGAAATCTTTCTGATTGAGAGGGGGTCAAATACTTATTTCCCTCATTAAAATGCAAATTAATTTATAACATTTTTGACATGCGTTTTTCCGGATTTTGTTGTTGTTATTCTGTCTCTCACTGTTCAAATAATACTACCATTAAAATTATAGACTGATCATTTCTGTCAGTGGGCAAACGTACAAAATCAGCAGGGGATCAAATACTTTTTTCCCCTTACTGTAGGTCAGTAACCCGTATGTAGTAAAATCAAATAAATAATACTATCCCAACCCCTATCACTACCCTGACCCCTTTCACAACCCCTATCACTACCACAAACCCTATCACTGCCCCTACCACCGCTATTACTACCCCTAGTACTCCCCCTATCACTTCCCCTATCACTTCCCCAACCACTATCACTACCCCTACCACCCCTATTACTACCCCTACCCCTCAACCTCCTGACCCTGGTGGCTTGCTGTGTGGAGTTTGTGTATTCTACCCACTCTGCGTGGGTTTCTCTCCAGGTTCCCGTTTGCTCTCATAGCTAAAACACGCCACGCAAAAGACAAATCTCCCCCTCATAGCCTGTGACAGACTGCTGGATGCTGTTAGCGAGCACCTATGAAAGCCGGAACGGTACACGAGGGGGTGGGTGGCCAGCACCACGCCCGACCGCCTTTGTCTCCCCAGTGGCGATGTTTACACACCACACCAGGTACCCATTCGAGGCTGAGCCGACCTAGGGGATGCCCAAGACCGGTTCAAATAATCGTCGCTGGTGTTGGCCGTGAGCGGGAAATTGAACTCGGGTCGCCGGGTTCATCGCGCTAACCACTACACTACCGCTCCCCACTAAACACACCAGACACACAATGTCACTGATATTGGCCGAACATCTCAATGCTAAAAAGAATGACCTTCAAATGAATCAAGTGGGATTACAGAGCAGCTGCACGAGCAGCAGCAATATCGCCCTCTGTCACCCTGACTGCGAAAACTCAGCAGGACCCTCATGGAAAAGTCTTGAGACTCGGTGAGGATCTCTTGAGTAAACAAGCGAAATCAAAAATAAGTTACGTTGATAGAACATTCCGGATAAAGTTGCGGAAAACTATATTTTTTTTAAACTATGTACGGGTGTGTCAGGGGATTATTCTGTTAATGTGCGAGTTTGAGGATTATATTTGACCAGGTAAGGCCCACTGAGCTATGTAGCGCTTTTTTAGAAGCGACCCGGCCACAAATTACACCCCAACAGAGTGGCTTAGCATGTGGAAATGTATAGCAGCAGTCAAATACTGTAAAAGTATGTTGATTCTAAATGTGGAAAGAAAAATAACGGAGGACTCGTAGAAAAAAACCATGCTACCACGGGGAGAGAGACATGCAAACTCCAAATATACAACGGGCATCAAGGTTCAGGATTGAATTCACAACCTCCTGTTTACCAGGCGAGGTAGTTGACATCTCGCTCAGAGCACTGGGCTGGCACAGCTGAGATCCTGGATTACAATCCTGGTTTCAGTCACAAGTATAAAATTAGTAACCAAGTATGGAAGCCCGCAGTAGTGACCCATGTGTAGACTTGCCCTCCCTTTTTGACGTGGGATTTCCACCACTGATGCATGGCTGATCAAGAGCCAAACGAATATTGCCAATGCTGACATAACGTATTACACGCACTGTGCACTTAGCAATATTCACGCTTGCTGTGGACCTCATTTATTGACTAATAGTTCATAAAGGCCTGTCTTCGCCAGTCAAACGTTTTTTTTAAAGAAATATAATAATTAACCTGACATGATTCTTTCACCATTTTTATCTACGATCAGACACTAACTACTCCTAACATTTGTATTTGTCCGCAAAAAAAATTGCTGACGACTTGCTTCCACGGAAACCGCTCCATTTAAAGATTCCGGTCTTTTTATTATTATTAGAGGGGAGGCTCAGTCTACCTTTATCCGTTTTCGAATTATTCAGATTTTAACATCATAAAATGCTTATTTTTTTCATCCAAAACCGCTTTAACCCGAAACATGAGAGAAAAAAACAATAAAAGATAGAACAATGGTTCTCGCTTCAACGTTATTTGCGGTCGAGTGCTTTTTAAAACGAAAAAAACCCCCGCAACCTTAGATTTTAAACGGTTTCTGAATGACACCCACAAACATGTTCATGGGGCACTTAAAATCGAGATTTGGGGGGGGGGGGGGGGGTTTAAAATGAAAGATCTCGGATTTTCTGATTTGTATTCCTGTTGTTTGTGCCCTAAAAGCGACCCGTGCACCAAATGCCAACTTTCTAGCTTGTCGGGAAGCACCTCGGCGGTTTTTGAGACGTACACATGAAGGTCTTTAATTATATACATAGATATCAACAGAGAGCATAACCCACGTGCTGTCAGTCTACATCGATTAACCGAATATAGTGTGGATTATCACCAGGATCACGATGCATTACATCGAATCGTGTGGGAACCCATTTAGATTTACGTCATTTGCAAACGATTCAATTGACACTGCCAGCCACGAGGCTGATAAACAAAAAGTAAAAAAAAAGAAAACCTCTTCTTTGGTTACTCATTGTTTTTTTCGGTAAAGTCACGTGTGTAGAAATACAATAAAATTATATTAAAACAAAAAACAATCACGACGTTTCGATCACAATGCAAGCGATCTTCATCAGGTGTCAAGAGCAAATCACGGAGGTAAATACAACAAAAAGATGAGAGACGAGAATTCAACGAACCTGAAAAAAACATTATGTGAAGCACATCCAGTCAGGCCAACAACACAGTTAGACACTTCCTGGCGGACCACGAATTTCAGAAGTGTTAAATTTCGTGTTCAACCTTTGGATTGCACATACCAACATAGATAGAATGAAAAATACGAGGTACACGGTCAGTAGAAATACATATTCAAGTCCACCAAGAGGTAAGGAGGGAGGAAAGACGGACAGGGAGGCAGAGAGAGGGGGGGGGGGAAGAACAGAAGCTTAAATAGGATATACGGTTGGAGGGGGGGAGGGGCCAGAGCGAGAGCGGCAGCTCAAACACGCACATCTTACACATACAAAACGGCAGCTCAAGAAAGGACCACCTCTTGTAAATACAAAACGGCAGCTCAAGAAAGGACCACCTCTTGTAAATACAAAACGGCAGCTCCCTCCCCCCCTCCAACCGTATTTCCTATTTAAGCTTCTGTTCATCCCTCCGCCCCCCCTCTCTCTCTGCCTCCCTGTCCGTCTTTCCTCCCTCCTTACCTCTTGGTGGACTTGTATATGTATTTCTACTGACCGTGTACCTCGTATTTATCATTCTATCTATGCTGGTATGTGCAATCCAAAGGTTGAACACGAAATTTAACACTCTTCTGAAATTCGTGGTCCGCCAGGAAGTGTCTAACTGTGTTGTTGGCCTGACTGGATGTGCTTCACATAATGTTTTTTTCAGGTTTGTTGAATTCTCGTCTCTCATCTTTTTGTTGTATTTACCTCCGTGATTTGTTCTTGACACCTGATGAAGATCGCTTGCGTTGTGATCGAAACGTCGTGATTGTTTTTTGTTTTAATATAATTTTATTGTATTTCTACACACGTGACTTTACCGAAAAAAAACAATGAGTAATTTTATGCAGTCACGAAAGCTTTAATACTCTTCTTTGGTTCTTTCGGTAAAGTCACGTAGAATGAGAATCAAATAATAAAATAAAACAATACAATTCTCACGACGTTTCGAAAAAGAAAACCTCGCTTCTTAAATCGAATCTGGTTACGACGTCGTAGTTGTTGCGTTTAAGAAACAATCCGGACTGACCGGAGTGGTGAAGTATGGTCAAGACAAAAGTTCCCCCGTATAACCTAAGCTAGACTGTTGGGGCAAGTGCTGTTAGGGAGCAGCACCTGTGAAGAAGTCGGGCGCTGTGGCACACGAAGTGGGGGTGGGTGGGTGGCCAGCACCACGCCCGGCCGCCTTTGTCTCTCCCAGTGGCGATGTTTACTACACACCTGCACCAGGTACCCATTTGAGGCCGAGTCGACCTAGGGGGGGAGGGGAGGCCCAGGACCACGTCAGATGTTCGTCACTGGGTTGTTGTTGTTGGTGGAACTCGGGTGGCCGACATCGCAGCGCAGCGGTGGCGCTAACCGCTGCGCCACCGCTCCCCACAAGTCTGAACGACGCGGTGCGGGAGAGGCTTTCATCCAGCAGTCGAGTGACAAAAGTGGCCGCATTTGTACAGAGTGTCTGTGCCGTAGGTTACACTGTTGGTAAAGGGCCGTCCATAAATGACGTCACGCGATTTTGGACGAGTTTTGCCCCACCCCCCCCCTTCGTCACACGGCGTCACAAAAAGTCAGACCCCCCCCCCTCAAATATGACGTCACAAAGCTCTGCCCCCCCCCCCCAAAAATATATAAAACATGCTTCAAATCTTGATTTAAAGCTTTCGTGACTGCAGTAATTCTTATTCTTAGCTCTTTCGGTAAAGTCACGTTGCAGGGAAACAATAAAATATATATAAAACAATAAAACATGTATTATGTTATTGTTTCCCTTCAACGTGACTTTACCGAAACAGCTAAGCATATTCTTCAAATCGCTTTAAACTATTGTCGTTGTAGCGCGTATTTAATGTGGCGCTGAACTCTGATGTTGTAGGAGAAAACATTTATTAAAAAAAAGTCAATTTAATTAAGTAGAACGTGTTGTCTATATTTATTTAAAGTTTCGCGATTTGACGTGACGTCACATTTCTCAAACCCCCCCACTCTCGTCACACATCGTCACAAATGTCTGACCCCCCCTCTCCCCCTAGGTGCGTGACGTCATTTATGGACGGCCCCCCTTCTGATTTAATCCGTGCCACGAAACGTGAGCCACACACAAAGGTTAAAGGTCTCCGCACGTGTAGCCTCAACAGACTGTTGGGGCAAGTGCTCTTCGCGAGTAAGCAGCACCTACGAAGGCCGTGGCCAGCACCACGCAACGCCCGGCCGCCTTTGTCTCCCCCTAAGTGGCGATTTTTTTTACACACCGCCGCTAAGTTACTCATTTGAGGCCGAGTCGACCTAGGGGGAGGGTCCAGGACCGGTTCTGATAATCGTCACTTTGGGTGTTCCGTTGGTGGTTGGTCGTGAGCGGGAATCGAATCCCGGGGTCGCCGGGGTTCAGTAGCGTAGCGTTGCGCTAACCGCTGCGCCACCGCTCCCCGCTACACGTGTCATACAACACACTAGACACGTGTTGTGTGTGGGGTGTGGGTGTGTGGGGTGTGTGTGGGGTGTGTGTGTGGTGTGTGTGTGTATGTGGTGTGTGTGTGGGTGTGTGTGGGGTGTGTGTGGTGTGTGTATATGTGGGGTGTGTGTTGTGTGTGTGGTGTGTATATGTGGGGTGTGTGTGTGGTGTGTATATGTGGGGTGTGTGTGGTGTGTATGTGGGGTGTGTTTGTGTGGGGTGTCGCTGCCCAGGTATACCTTGCAGAAGTCGCCATAACGAGAACAATCTGAACATTTGCTTGACTCCGGAGCTGTTGTTGTTGTTTATTCCCGCGCTTTCTTCTTCCGAGAGAGCGAGAGAGGGAGCCCTTGTTGCAAGCGTGACGTGGTGATGATGGTAGTGGTGATGGTGGCGGTGGTGGTGACGATGGTAGTGGTGGTAGTGATGGTGGTGGTGATGATGGTGGTGGTACCAGGTGGTGATGATGGGGGTGGTACCAGGTGGTGATGATGGGGCAGGAGAGAGCGGCGTGGCGAGGCGGGGGTTCAATTCGCAGTTGCTGCCACTGTGGGGCATCACATCCTGTTCCGGCAAGACGGAGCACGAGGAGAGAGAGAGGAGCCCAGGAGGAACAACGTGGAGAGGAGAGAGAGAGAGAAACGAGAGAGAGAGAAGCCCAGGAGGAACAACGTGGGGACGAGAGAGAGAGGAGCCCAGTAGGAACAACGTGGGGACGAGGGAGAGGAGAGAGAGGAGCCAAGGAGGAACAAAGTGGAGAGGAGAGACAGAAACGAGAGAGAGAGAGAAGCCCAGGAGGAACAACGTGGGGACGAGAAAGAGAGGAGAGGGGTCAACAGGAGCACAGCAAGGACGTGGGGGGGGGAGCTGTAGCGCGCTACAAATTCCCGAGTTCGATTGTCGCTCGCGGAAACGCCCAAGACCGGTGACGATTATTATCAGAACCCCTGTCCGGGTACCCCTCCCCTAGGTCGACTCAGCCTCAAATGAGTACCTAGGTGCAGCGGTGTGTTTAATATAATCAGCACTGGAGAGACAAAGGCGGTCGCTCGTGTGCCACAGTGCTGCTGCTTGCTCACAGCACTTGTCCCAAAAGTGCGTTGAGGCTACACGGGTGAGCTTTGTCTTTGTGTATAGGTATGTTAATGTGTATGTGTTAATGTGTATGTGTTAATGTGTGTTCATGTGTGTTATTGTGTATGTGTTATTGTGTATGTGTGTTATTGTGTGTGTTAACGTGTACGTGTTAATGTGTGTTATTGTGTATGTGTGTGTAGGTGCTACTTGCGAACAGCACTTGGCCCTATAGTTTGTTAAGGCTACACGGTGGGGTGTGTGTTTGAAACATGCATTTAGATTATTTTGCTGCAATAATTTTGCACATGATCGGCCACTGTTGAAAAGTAAGTTGATATCACAGTCCGCTTCACCTGGTAAGACTGTAAAAAGTTTAGTTTTTTTTCTATATATTTAAAGTGTTGTGTTTACCTTTCCTATACTTTGCACTCCGTGTTTTTGTATTGTTTTTTGTAACGTTCTGACCCCCTCTTCCTCTTTTCACAGGAGACATTCCGTGTATAAAAGAGCTTCATAGCTCATCGGATTCCTCCAGCCTCGAATAAAGAATTCCGAATGTTGAACCCCACGCGGCGCCAGTGACGTCATCGCGCGCACGCGGTGTCGTCATCACGCACGCGGGGATGTCATTACGTACTTCTAGATTTGAAGCTTTCGTGACTGCAAGGATTCATACTCTTTGGTTTTATTCGGTAAAGTCACGTAGGTAAAAATAAAACAAAATAATTGTTTTCTTTTATTTTGTTTTATTTTATCTACGTGACTTTACCGAATAAAACCAAAGAGCATTACGTACTTGTTTCCGTAGACGTCATTACGTGTACGCGGTGACGTCATTACGTAGACGCGGCGCCGTCATCACGTGTATGCGGCGAGGTCACCCCGAACCTATAAAACGTCACCATGCCACGCGGAGGCGTCACCACGCACGCTGAGACGTCAGTACGTACGCTGTGACGTCAGCACGCACGCTGAGACGTCACCACGTACGCGGGGACGTCACCACGCACCCCACACTAAATCCAGCCTCTTCCTCTGTTCACATCTCCTCCCTACTCTTAAGCTGTAATCTAAAAAACCCTTTAAAAAAAACACCGTTAAGCATGTGATTTCCGCCGAATCTACTTAGGGCTGAAGGGGAGAGGGGAGGAATACTTCGTAAAAAAAAAACTAAATTGCCGGCTAACGTTCCCACTTTGTGTATCATCATCACCATCACTGCGTTGTAACATTTGTTAGGGTTGGAGCGAACACCCAAGATCCGAGCGGCTACTGCTACTACTACTGCTGCTGCGATGATGATGATGGTGGTGGTGGTGATGAAGATGTCTTTAGATTCTTAGAGAAGCCGAGCGTTGGTGGTGGTAGTGGTGGTAGTGGGTTTAGTGGGGGATGTTGTGCTGAGGAGGACGTCTCGGGACATGCGACTCGGCCGTCCCGCACACGGAGTAAGCAAGAAGTCTGGTAAGAAGACGAAGAAGGCGAACCGAGTGTTGTTGTTGTTCTCTCGCTAGAGTTGTGTGTCCGTCTGTGAGACACAGTGTAGCGTGTGATCCGCCTTGCTGTGTCACAGTCGTCATCGGTGTGGGGAGGAGTTGGGGCCATACTTCACCACTCCGGGTCACGATACGATGCGATGGTGTTACACAAGTGTAGACAATGTTGTATTAGACCGATTGTCTAATACGACATTGTCAATTCGCTGCTTGATGAAAGGCCTTTACAAAAAAACACACACAACGCTGTGTTGTCGGTCCTGCGAGCGTCGTTTGACCATACTTCACCGCGCTGGTCATAGGCGGGTTGTGAAGTGGGATTGTTGTTGTTAGCCGTGGTTGGGAATCGAACTGGGGTCCCGCTAGAACCGTACGTTGCAACCCGAAAGTTAAAAAAACCCGCAAAGTGCAGTTCGTTTTATCGACCCGGAGTGATGATGGGCCGAGGCTACGTCATACAGATTCATACGTCAATCTCACTTGTTGGCAGAATGTGTGGTATACCTGTGGTTTAGTAGTACGGTACCGTATGTCAATAATAATTATGTAAATGTTGTTTTTCCAGGAAAGCCTCACTGTGTATCAAGACTCGGTGTAATACAATCAAGCTTATGTAAAAAATGCAGGACAGTACGTATTGTCTTGACATATATAGTATTCCTGATAGACGTTTTTTAAAATATATATATAGACTTATATAGACGTTTGCGTTTTGTCTACAGTCAAACGGTCTTGTAACTGACATGAAACAGGTTCTGAAATATAGCTCAGTGAGCCTTACCTGTTAAAATATAATAAAAACATGTTGAAACCTCTTGCTATCACCACTATAAAGAGTTTGAATCTCAGAAGCCAAGGATGGGTGACTACCACCAACACGACCAACCCACACCACACGGTTTGCCACAGGTTTTGTGGTGGAGGCGATTCGAGGTGTGACCTGGATTTTGGCAGTGCCACTGTGAACCCCCTTCCTACACAGTGTGCACGACTTGGGGTTTTTGGGTTCGATCGCTTAAATATATGAATGTGTGGTTAAACCCGCCACCACCCGACACGGCCAATTGGTAAGATTTGTGACAGTGAACAGAACACGCCAATTCGTTACAATCTGAGCACTCGGATTGTAAATGGTTGTGGCTTTGCTCGAATTGGCGTGTTCTGTTTACGTGACAAACCTTACTAATTGGCTAACCAAAAAAACTGTATTATGGATGATATTGGTCGTGAAAGTCTACGTGTTGAACTGACTTGGGTTTGTTTCTCCGGGTTCCGAAGTACCACCCGCATGGAGCCAGACTCTCATTCGTGGAATTGGCGAAACGTCGCAACGTAGCCGGGATCCTCCTGAATTTTAACTCGAAAACACTTAAGGATCTCTATGCCACAGGCCGCAAGACTTTTCTAGCGTTAATAATAATTTACATTTATCAAGCGCCCTTAAACGATCGTTCTCAGGCCGCTATGCGTGGAAATGCGGAAAATAGTTTAACAGCAACTAAGGAACGAAGAAGTCAGAATGACGTTTGAAAATAATTAAAGAGGGAGCGACATTTTAAGCGGATATATTTTTAGTCGAGATTTGTAGTGTCTCGAAGTCCCGACCTCGACGGGGCAAGGAGTTCCAGAGTTGAGGTGCGGCAATTGTGAAGCCTAGATCGTGGTGACGGTGAGCAAAGCACAATCTGAGGATCCTAATGATCTTCATGGAATATATGGCTGAAGGAAGTCCATTCTAGATTTGACGTTTTCGTGACTGCAAGGAGCCATACTCTTGTTTTTTTTTTCGGTAAAGTCACGTAGGTAAAGAAAATAAGGAGCAAGTCCATTTAAGGCCTCGAATATCAGCAAGAGAATGTTAAAATCAGTGAAGGGACAGGAGCATAGGTGTGATGTGATTCTTAAAGGTTGTGCCAGTTAGCACCCTGGTGGCCGCATTTTGAACATACTGCAGTCTTTTTGATTTAAAGCTTTCGTGACTGCAGTAATTCATATTCTTAGCCCTTTCGGTAAAGTCACGTTGAAGGGAAACAATAAAATAATAAAATATATATAAAACAATAAAAATTCTCACAACGTTTCGACCATAACGCAAACGGTCATCACCTGATGATGACCGTTTGCGTGACTTTACCGAAAGAGCTAAGAATATACTGCAGACTGTTTAGAAGCTTGCTCGGGGTCAATGCAGGAGAAACAATTGCGTGGAGAGCAGTCGTTCGGTGTCTGCAGCTGTAAGGATGTGATGGAGCCGTTGTACACTGGCCATCCGCACATTCAATATGTTTAATGTATAATACAGTCGAAAAGAAAATGTATACAGTTAAGTTGGGTTTGGCTCGGACACATCGCTAGACGGGATGATGGCACATGGACAAGAATTGTGATGGAACGGCATCCAAAGGATAAAATTGGTCACAGTGTTCGGCCACCGTGGAGATGGAGTGATGAGATCAGTTCACGCGCAGGAGCGAGCAAGATGGACGGTAACCGCAGTGGACCGTGCGGGGTGGTGACGGCGTGGGGAGGCCTTCATCCAGCAGTCGAATAGACAATGGCTGACGATTATAAAAACAATTACGCTATCTGTCATTGATTATTCATTGCAATCTTTGACGTGACCGCAGCGCTGAGATGGTTTTACCTTCTTGAAGCACGCAGATCGCCGCGGAGTGAGAGGAGGAGACGCCATGGAGACGTCGGTTTCACACGCGGGGAGTACCACGCACGTGAGCTTCGTGTGCCAGCGCTGCAACCAACCGCTCAAGCTGGACACTTCGTTCGACACGCTCGACAATCACACGACCGGCGAGCTCACAGGCAAGCCTCCTGTTTCTCGACGTCGCATTCCCACAGCTGCGCTCTGTGTGTGTGTAGTAACACGTGGGGGAGCACTAGTGTAAGTGGTTAATAAATTGCACTCCAAACCAGGTGACTCAAGTCCAATACCCGCTAAATTTAGATCTAAAACTCATTACTTTAGAACTGTTTTTTGTGTTTAGATTGTTGTCTTTGCCCCTGCAACTCCGATTAGCACGGTTGGATACGTACGTTGCGGGAGAAGTTCAATGGCCAACGTCAGTAGACCAAATCTGCCTGTCCGCCTGATGATGCTAGTTGTAATTACAGTAAAACCTTGGATTGCGAGCATAATTCGTTCTGGAAACGTGTTTGTAATCCAAAGCACTCATATATCAAAGCGAATTTCCCCATATGAAATTATGGAAACTCAGATGATTCGTTTCATAACCCAAAAATATTCATATAAAAATGATTAATTCAAAATTCTTTTTACTTTTTTATTATTTTAATCTAATATAAAGTAATCTAATTTATTAATTAAATGTAATCGTGGCTGGTGTGAGGGAGACGAGAGAGAGGAGAGGAGGAGGAGGTTTATTGTGTAGGATGACTTTCACTGTCACTAACGAAATCACTGCTATCTGTTGGCTCACTGGAATCTTTTTCTTTTTGTGCGACTTTATGCATCAATTCGATTTTATTGACTCCCCGATGCTCAGATTTCAGGTACATTTTTCTAGTACCTGGTATGCCAGTGTTTACGGAACTACAGTGAAGACGTAAAATACATCCGTCATGTACATATTCTCAATGAAGTTTTTTAATATCTTAAATTACACTAACAACATTTTTTTTGTTCCTGGGTAGTAAGTGAGTACAGAAAATGGCTATTATTCCCCACAAACTTTGCTTTTGTGACCAGGACAGTGATATTTAGAAATTTACTTATGTTTTGGACAGAACATTCCAGATAGATTCAGTGCTGAGTAAACTTGGAGTAACTTCTAGAACATTCTATAAATTTCCAGTAGCATAAATAGTTGTATAAATACAGGGGCCTTAAGCCCATCAGTTCAGTTTAGTTCCAGCTGCCTAAGTGGATACATATCTGCATTTTTCTGAGATGTCATCAAGAGGCTGCAAGCATCCGGCAGATGCATTTTGCTATGTCTGCAGTCAATTTATCAAGACAAGAGCAAAAAAGTACTCGGTGGAAGCATCTGCTAAGATGTGTGAGGCCTACAAGGCATATTTCCACTGACCACTCAAGCAGCTGCTACTTCTGCATGGTGGACCCTTTCAAACGTCGGACTGGCAAGAATGCACCTGCTATCACGTATCCGGAACTTCATTCATCGCCTCGGTGCACCACTGCCATGAGCTCCTCGTACCCACCCCCCCGAAGAGAGAGAAGCTGTCTTTAGAGGAGATCAGGAAGTCAGAGAGCGAGGACGACGTTGTGGATCCAGATAACAATTTCAGAGGTGGAGCTGAGGAGAGAAACCCATACTACCCCAACCAAAAAGACCTCAACGACTTGATCAGAGATCTTGGTTTCACCAAGTCCAATGCCAAGCTTTTGACGTCTAGGCTCAAGCAGTGGAACTTGTTGGATAAAGTGTGCAAGTTGCAGATCAGAGGAAGCATCACCAACCTTTTTGCAGCTTCTTCACCGGTAAAGATGGGCTTTGCTTCTGCCACAATGTGACCAGTCTGTTCGAGCCAATCGGAATCGCCTGTAACCAGAATGAGTGGCGCCTCTTCATTGACAGCTCATCCAGGAGCCTCAAAGCCGTGCTGCTCCATAATGGTAACAAGTACCCGTCTCTTCCCCTGGCACACTCGGTGCACCTCAAAGAGGATTACAACAGCATCAAGACCTTGCTGGACGCCTTGAAGTATGATGAGTACGGCTGGGAGGTCATCGGAGACTTCACAATGGTGGCATTCCTGATGGGTCTGCAAGGCGGTTTTACCAAGTTTCCCTGCTATATTTGTTTTTGGGACAGCAGGGACACCAAGGCGCACTACCACAGGCGGTACTGGCTACAGCAGACCGAGTTTTCTGTGGGGAGGAACAACGTCAAGTGGGAGCCACTTGATGGACCTCCGGAAGGTGCTGATGCCACCACTGCACATCAAATTGGGCCTTATGAAACAATTTGTCAGAGCTGTAGATAAGCAGTCGGCAGCCTTCAAGTACCTTCAAGACTTCTTCCCTAAGTTGTCTGAGGCAAAGGTCAAAGCCGGTGTCTTCGTCGGACCACAGATGAAGATCCTGGAGTGCAATGAATTCCCCAAGAAGCTCACTAGTAAGGAGAAAGTGGCTTGTAACAGCTTTGTCACAGTGGTTCTTGGCTTCCTGGGTAATCACAAGGTTGAAAACTATGGAGTTGGTTCAGACTCTGGTGAAGAACTACGGCACAATGGGCTGTAGGATGTCCCTCAAAGTCCATATCCTTGATGCTCATCTTTATTAATTCAAAGAGAACATGGGAGCGTACTCGGAGGAGCAAGGCGAGCGCTTCCACCAGGATATACTGGACTTTGAACGCCGCTACCAAGGACAGTAACAAGAACATGATGGGAGACTACATTTGGGGGCTGATTCATGAAAGTGATTTACAGTATAATAGTAAATCTCGAAAACTACTCACTTCAAATATTTTGTCGTAATTTTTTATTACTTTAGTATAAATATGTTAATTTTGATTCATATGTTGTTTTTTTCTGACATTATCTGAACGAAAAGACACATTCGCCCGTTTTCTCATTGAAAATAGGTAAATTTCGAAATTTCACTGTCCTGGTCACAAAAGCAAAGTTTGTGGGCAATAATAGCCAGTTTCTATACTTTTTAGGCATAAGCAATTACGAAATAACACTTACTACCCAGGAACAAAAATTGTGTTGCATAGTGTTATCATTGCCACTAGACATGCTCCACACGGGGAGAGATTCCAGCCCAGAGGACGCAATTGAAAGGCTTCTCTCTCTAATCTTGCATGCGCATCCCCTCGTTGATCTTGTGATGAGCTAAATAAAAACTACATTTCGATTTAAAGCTTTCGTGACTGCAGGGATTCATCTTCTTGGTTCTTTCGGTAAAGTCACGTAGAAGGGATACAATAAAATAATACAAATAAAACATTAAAATAAAATAAAATTCTCACGACGTTTCGGCCACAACAAAAGTAGCCTTCTTCAGGTGAAGAAACAGGTCTGTCCAGAAGACAGCGCTTGAGTGAACGCTTCCAAGCAAGGACCGCGTCTTTTTGTGTTTTATTTTTATTATTTTATTTCCATTCTACGTGACTTTACCGAAAGAACCAAAAAACTAAATTATTATTGCCAGTAGCCGAACACATTCAGAAAATGAGACTTAAGCCCGGTTGAATGATAAGCACGTTGTTTTAAATGTATGCACATACTGGGATGCCATGGTGGTGAGATGTTAACTATCTCGCCTGGTATACAGGAGGTCGTGGGTTCGATCCCGACCCTGACGTCTATGTTTGGAGTTGGCGTGTCTCTCTCCCCGTGGTCACGTGGATTTTTCTCCAGTTTCTCCGGTTTTTCCACGTATAGTTCAGTGGGCCTTACCTGGTCAAATAAAACATTGTTCAGTTTTAATAGAATATTTTGGTGTAATGTTTAATTGACGTTTTGTGTGGTTTTTTTGCAGCCCCTCTTGTGACGGTTACACCGGTGACGAGAGACGACCCAAGTGTGGACATAGAAGTGACCAATGAGGTGTGTACGAATGTGCAACATACGTTGACTGAGAATTATTATTGAAAGATAGATCAACAACAGCAACAAACAAAAACTGCTTTTTGTGTTCAGTTTGTTGTCCTTCCCCCCCCCACCCCGCACTTCCGATTAGCATGGTTGGCTACGTACGGCGCGAAAGAAGTTCAACATATGTACATATTTATAATGTGCGCATAACGTAACAAACATTTTTTGAGTCCACTTATCGTACGCTCAATATGATGTAACTATCATGTTTTGAATTTTGATTTAAAGCTTTCGTGACTGCAGTAATTCATATTCTTAGCTCTTAGCTCTTTCCCTTCAACGTGACTTTACCGAAAGAGCTAAGAATATCATGTTTTGATTTAAAGCTTTCGTGACTGCAGGGATTCATATTCTTGGTTCTTTCGGTAAAGTCACGTAGAAGGGAAACAATAAAATAATGAAAATATAAAGCAATAAAATTCTCACGACGTTTCGACTGCAACACAAGCAAGTCATCATCAGGTGTGAGAATTTTATTGTTTTATATTTTTAATATTTTATTGTTTCCCTTCTACGTGACTTTACCGAAAGAACCAATAATATAACTATCATGTGTTTTATAATTGACGTGTTCCTCTCTCTGTGTGTCAGTGTAATTCCAAGCATGTACCTCCCCATGCTTTATTGTGCACTTGTCAGCGTCTTTCCATACCTGACAACTCCTTATCAGTGCCCTACCTTCATACAGACCAATTCAGACCCTATTGGTCACCCCGTGCCCCTTAAAAATCTCAACGTTCATCCTACAAAGTCCCATCACAAGGGAGAAACACAAACAAATAGACACTATATATTATATTATATATTTTTGCCCGTATTGAAACTGCTGTAAGGCGTATGGACCTGACAACTCAATTTCCCTGTACAATAATATGGATAAACCGTGTGGGTTGACAGGTTTGTGTTTCTCCCATTTCCTTTTTCAATATACGTGTCCCTGAACTGTACATCATAACAGGTGACATACTGATTTTATGCAGTGGACACATTTGTTTGCTGGTTTCCATGGTCAAGTTCAATTTTTCATAAGCATTGTAATCACCTCTCCTCTGCATCTTTATAACATACCTATAGGCTTAGTCCCCTGTCAATGAGCTGCCTTTGGTACACATCCTCTGCTGTTTTCCAATTGGGTCCCTCTGATAGAAATCTCCAGTCAAGTGAACTTACTCTACATTACCTCTATCGTGTAATCTCCTAACTATTTCTGCATTATTATTAATATATTTTGCTGGTATATCCTTTGACATGGAACATCTTGTTTGCAAGGGCGTCTTGGTTGTATGTATGTATTTTGAACTTCTTTTGCACCGTACGTAGCCAACTGTGATAATCAGGAAGGACAAGAAACTAAACACAAAAAACAGTTATGAAGAAATGAGTTATCAAACTAGATCATATAAAGGTGCATACAGTGAGGGAAAAAAGTATTTGATCCCCTGCTGATTTTGCACGTTTGCCCACTGACAAAGAAATGATCAGTCTATAATTTTAATGTTAGGTTTATTAGAACAGTGAGAGACAGAATAACAACAAAAAAATCCAGAAAAACGCATGTCCAAAATGTTATAAATTGATTTGAATTTTAATGAGGGAAATAAGTATTTGACCCCTCTGCAAAACATGACTTAGTACTTGGTGGCAAAACCCTTGTTGGCAATCACAGAGGTCAGACGTTTCTTGTAGTTGGCCACCAGGTTTGCACACCTCAGGAGGGATTTTGTCCCACTCCTCTTTGCAGATCTTCTCCAAGTCATTAAGGTTTCGAGGCTGACGTTTGGCAACTCGAACCTTCAGCTCCCTCCACAGATTTTCTATGGGATTAAGGTCTGGAGACTGGCTAGGCCACTCCAGGACCTTAATGTGCTTCTTCTTGAGCCACTCCTTTGTTGCCTTGGCCGTGTGTTTTGGGTCATTGTCATGCTGGAATACCCATCCATTTTCAATGCCCTGGCTGAGGAAAGGAGGTTCTCACCCAAGATTTGACGGTACATGGCCCCGTCCATCGTGCCTTGGATGCGGTGAAGTTGTCCTGTCCCCTTAGCAGAAAAACACCCCCAAAGCATAATGTTTCCACCTCCATGTTTGACGGTGGGGATGGTGTTCTTGGGGTCATAGGCAGCATTCCTCCTCCTCCAAACACGGCGAGTTGAGTTGATGCCAAAGAGCTCCATTTTGGTCTCATCTGACCACAACACTTTCACCCAGTTGTCCTCTGAATCATTCAGATGTTCATTGGCAAACTTCAGACGGGCATGTATATGTGCTTTCTTGAGCAGGGGGACCTTGTGGGCGCTGCATGATTTCAGTCCTTCATGGCGTAGTGTGTTACAAATTGTTTTCTTGGTGACTATGGTCCCACCTGCCTTGAGATCATTGACAAGATCCTCCCGTGTAGTTCTGGGCTGATTCCTCACCGTTCTCATGATCATTGCAGTTCCACGAGGTGACATCTTGCATGGAGCCCCAGGCCGAGGGAGATTGACAGTTCTTTTGTGTTTCTTCCATTTGCGAATAATCGCACCAACTGTTGTCATTTTCTCACCAAGCTGCTTGCCAATGGTCTTGTAGCCCATTCTAGCCTTGTGTATGTCTACAATCTCGTCTCTGACATCCTTGGAGAGCTCTTTGGTCTTGGCCATGGTGGAGAGTTTGGAATCTGATTGATTGATTGCTTCTGTGGACAGGTGTCTTTTATACAGGTAACAAGCTGAGATTAAGAGCACTCCCTTTAAGAGTGTGCTCCTAATCTCAGCTCATTACCTGTATAAAAGACACCTGGGAGCCAGAAATCTTTCTGATTGAGAGGGGGTCAAATACTTATTTCTCTCATTAAAATGCAAATCAATTTATAACATTTTTGACATGCGTTTTTCTGGATTTTTGTAGTTATTCTGTCTTTCACTGTTCAAATAAACCTACCATAAAAATTATAGACTGATCATTTCTTCGTCAGTGGGTAAACGTACAAAATCAGCAGGGGATCAAATACTTTTTTCCCTCACTGTAGCTCCAGTGGCTTCTTAATATTGGAAGGAAGAGCGTTTCAAAAGGCTGTAAAAAGCGCATCCAGAAGCGCGCGATGCCGTGACCGTCTTTGTTCGATGGCCAAAATTGTCCAAATATAATTTGTAGCTTTTGTTTAATGGATCGGAGACAATGGTGAATAACAACAATAACAATGAGCGGTCGGATCGACGAGACGCTGCTGGGCTATGTGCTGATGTCACATGTTTGACAGCAGGGCCCCTACACGACACACGGATGCCTGGACGAGAGGCGATGCGATGGCGTGGTGCACAAGACCATACCGCCAGCCAGGTCATTGATTATTTTTTGTTCAGTTACTTGAAAGCTGGCAATACTGAGCGGCGTGCGTACGGATAACACTCGGCGGCGTGCGTACAGCAGGTAACGCTGAGCGGTGTGCGTACAGCAGGTAACGCTGAGCGGTGTATGTACACCAGGTAACGCTGAGCGGTGTATGTACATCAGGTAACGCTGAGCGGCGTACGTACAGCAGGTAACGCTGAGCGGTGTGCGTACAGCAGGTAACGCTGAGCGGTGTACGTACAGCAGGTAACACTCGGCGGCGTACGTACAGCAGGTAACGCTGAGCGGCGTACGTACAGCAGGTAACGCTGAGCGGTGTGCATACATCAGGTAACGCTGAGCGGTGTACGTGCAGCAGGTAACGCTGAGCGGTGTATGTACACCAGGTAACGCTGAGCGGCGTGGGTACAGCAGGTAACGCTGAGTGGCGTACGTACAGCAGGTAACGCTGAGTGGCATACGTACATCAGGTAACGCTGAGCGGTGTACGTGCAGCAGGTAACGCTGAGTGGTGTGCGTACACCAGGTAACGCTGAGCGGTGTATGTACATCAGGTAACGCTGAGCGGTGTACGTACAGCAGGTAACGCTGAGCGGCGTACGTACATCAGGTAACGCTGAGTGGTGTACGTACATCAGGTATAGGCTGCTGTAGAGCTCTGTTGCGGGCAGCAGAGGGCAGTGCAGCATCGCCAAATAACCCCCCCCGCCCCACGGCCCTCGCACAGAGGCCTTTCATCAGTGGATTGACCAAGGGGCTGAAAATGGTCATTGTGTGACGAGACAAAGGTTTTTAAGCATTTTTTGAATTCTTTAGCAGAGCGCTGCCTATTCACGTATTTCGTAAGAGAACGATCCACGGAAGGTGACGTTACAGAACTATGTCTGAGCGCTTTTCAAGTGACAACTTAACCACGCTAGGGCCTCTGGAAATTTCACACGTGATAATCTGCAGAAGTTTTTCATGGCATGATTGTTCAATAAAAATAAAATATCTTGAAAGCTGCTGCGTGTGCCAGTGCGGGCTGTTGTAATCATCTCAGTCAGTCGACCCATGGCACCTGCTGGGTCTGCCCCGTGACCTCCTGCCGGCGGGCGTTCGACACTTCACGTGGCCTTAACGTGCACATGGCCTGGCACAAGCGCCGTGGTGACATCACCGCCACTTAGTGGCGAATGCCGGTTGTTGTTGTTGGCTGTTGTAATCGTGGCACCGTGCCCCTGTAAAGGCGTTTTGCGTGTGGATCCAGCAGGATGATGTCCATGGAGAGTGCCAACAGCTTCACGCTGATAGGGGAGGCGTCCGACGGGGGCGTAACGGAACACCTGAGTCGCAGGATCAAGGTAACGGCCGCGCACGTCACTCGCAGTCTGGAGCGTGCGATGGTGTGCTCGTCGCACATTGATCAGGAAAGAACCACATGGCGAAATCGCTTCCCTGCTGGCAACCCGTGCCCATTTGGAGGCCGGTGCTGGGTATAATTTGTGCCTCACAGCTGTCACTGGGGGGGGAGGTGAGGGGGTCCCCTTGGTACAAGGGTCAAAGACAACCAAAATAACAAGAAGAGACATTTCTTTCTAATTTAATTTAAAAAAAACAATATTTCGAGAGCCGCAATCAATGCACGTGAATAACATTTCGCCAAGCGATCCTTCAGCAGCCGCATGTGGCTCCGCAGCCACTGGGTTTGCCGACCCCTGCCTTGGATAGACCGCAGCAGGGGATTAAAATGTTTCAGATGAGACGTGATGTAAAGTGCTTCCCGTTGCTGAGGCGTTAAAGCAAGTGGCCTATAAATGCCGCTGCTGGACGAAAATCCTCCGCGCGCAGATCGCTGCCCGAGGAGCCAGTCCTCACCTGCCTGAACTCGTGCAATTGAATCACCTGCAGCTACTTTATCCACATCAAAGCGAGTGGATGCGCAACAAGGAAATAAAATGGCGCATTCGGGAATATAAGAACCAATCATGGTTCCCATATGGGCACGAGGTGGATGACGTCGCAACAAATTGCTCAGCTGTGACTGGTTCTTCGACTGCTTGCAACTAAATTTTGATTTAAAGCTTTCGTGACTGCAGTAATTCATATTCTTAGTTTTTTCGGTAAAGTCACGTTGAAGAGAAACAACAAAATAACAAAATATATATAAAACAATAAAAAAAAAACCTAAGAATATGCTTGCAACTAGTTGCAACTCAGTCGCGTGCAGAAGAGTTGCACAACTGATTGCGCAGGTGTGGACCCCGGTTTAAGGTTGCGTACCAATTGTCGTGATCTGTGCCCCGCCTCCCCCCCCTCTTGCGTGCGTGCAGGTGATGAGCGACCTGTTCGACATCATGTCCGGCCAGACGGAGGTTGACCACCCGTTGTGCGAGGAGTGCACGGACAACCTCCTTGACCAGATGGACCAGCAGCTCAAGGTCACGGAGGACGAGTGTCAGGACTACAGGTGGAGATGACAGTCGTCGTCGACGGCGTTGTTGCTGTTGTTGTTGTGCACGGTCGAAGATTTCTTTAGGAATTGAATTTCAAGAAGTGCATTTTCCGGAATTCAATTTCGGTTTCTGGAGAAGCATCTGGCACGTAGAGCGAAACGTCGGACATGTATGTATGTCTGTTGAACTTCTTTTGCACTGTACGAAGCCAACCGTGCTAATCATAGGTGTGGAGGACAACAAACTCAAACATAGAAATCAGTTAAAAAGAAATTAGTTTTTCATTTTAGATTCTTTAAAAGTGTTTAGCTCAAGTGGCTTCCTAATATCGGAAGGAAGAGCGTTTAACAGCTCGTCGTCGATTGCAGCTGTCTGACGTGTGACCGCCCTGTTGAAAGAGATATCTTGGCTTGCGTGAGCAGCTGGGAGTTTGACCTGGTTGGCATTACATTGACACCTTTGTCACGTGTTGATTTCTGCACGTGGTTAACCTTGTTGTTCACGAGTGTCTACATTGGGGGTGAGCCCCTCTGATGTAATTGTGTAATTCCTGTACAGCGGTGTGAGATGCAGTTGTATGAATAATGCTCTACAAAATTTAATTACCGTCGCGATTATACGAAATGTCAGACATGCGTTTATAATCACTTGAAACACCAGGGCATATCAAGAGCCACTTGCGAAAAATTGCACGAATTTTTTTTTACAAGAAGATCCTAGCATGTGTTGCGAAGGTTTATCAAAACGTCAAAAGACGTCACGCGAAACATCGGACATCGTGCATTTATTCATCGCTTAAATTCCGTGGCATCTTGGAGCCACTTGAAATCAAATTCGGGAACTGAATTTGATTTCCCGAAGAGGCTCCGAGCACGTGGAGCGAAACGTTGGAACGTGGTGCCAAACAACAAATCGGAGAGCCTGTACAGCAAAGACAAAGATCCCCCATATAGCCGTAACAGGCTGTTGGAGCAAGTGCTGTTAGCGAGCACCTTTGAAGGCCGGCACGGCACACAAGGGGGTGGGTGGCCAACACCACGCTCGGTCGCTGTTGTCTCCCGAGTGGCGATGTTTACACGTTGCACCCGGTACTCGTCTGAGTCGACCTAGGGGAGGCCCACGACCGGTTAAAATAATTGTCACTGGTGTTGGCCGTGAGCGAGAATCGAACCGGGGTCGCCAGGTTCGTAGCACAGTGCGTTAACCGCTACACTACCGCTCCCCACAGCACAACCATGAACATCCACGCAGCAGCGTGAGTCAGAAAGTGGGGGACCTGGAGGCAATATTGGCACCTTGTCATTCAGCCCAGGATAAATGGCCCTACCCTGGGGGGGACGAAGCCTTCTGGAGTGCAGCCCCAAAAATCTGGAACACCCCGCCTGCCTGCCTGCCTGCCACAGGACATCCGAAACACGCTGAATATCTCTCAATCAACGTGCTACTGAACATCTGTGAAAAAGAGCTTCATAGCTCATCGGATTCCTCCAGTATAAATTAATATTCTGGTTCTGATTCTGACTTGCCTTCCCATAAAATCAAAAACTTTAAATACAAACCATCTCTTTATTTTCCATTTATTTTTTTATTTACAACTTAACTTGCTTGTGCGATTCGTTGCACGCGGTTGAAATTTACTTTGCTCGGTCAGTGTCAACCGCTGAGGTCCTGACCGGTTTCCATCTTTCATTCCTGTAACCGTTCCCGATCCGCCGTAATGCACACCGACGCCCACTTTGTTGAGGGTGATATTAGCACGCCAAAATCAAGATCGTCATCATTACAATCATGGGCAGACAGCCCGTAGTTGTCTCCACTGCACATTTGGTCATTTGTTTCCACTTTCCTCTGTCTTGTGCCAATACGTTCAAGTAGTGCCACATCTTTCTGGCACCAATCTCTTACGATGTCGTTGTCAAGCGCGTTCTCTGTTCGATCTTCCTCGCTTTCCGGGTTCCGTCCATTTCCCCCACCCCCGAACAACACACTCTTACCTTTTTCTTTTGTCCATCCTACCAGGGGTTCGATTTGTTATTGTTTTCTTTTCTCACCAGGGATTTCCTCAAGCGCCTGGATGACACCGCCGGCGAGGTGGGCTGTTCCGAGATGGCGCACGGCGTTGACGAGCAGAGCCTGCAGTCGGAGCTCGCGTTTCTCCGCACCGAGGAGGCCGGGCTCATCGCTCAGCTGGAGGAGGTGGAGGGCGAGCGAAGGCAGCTGGCCCAGCAGATGGCCCACCTCAAGACTGAGGCCGCGCAGCTTGGCCACCAGGAGGAGAAGTACGCTGAATGCGAGTGTGTGGGTCGGTCGGTCGTGCGTACTGTGGGGTGCGGTAGTGTAGCGGTTAGCGCGCTGCGCTACCAACCCGGAGACCCGGGTTCAATTCCCGCTCACGGCAAACACCAGTGACGATTATCTGAGCCGGTCCTGGGCCCTCCCCTCGGTCGATTCAGCCTCAAATGAGTACCTGGTGCGGTGTGTGAACGTCGCCAATGGGGAGACAAAGGCGGTCGGGCGTTGTGCCACCCACTCCCTCGTGTGCCACCGTGCCAGCCTTCATAGGTGCTGCTCGCTAATAGCACTTGCCCCAAAAGTCTATTAAGGCTATCCGGGGTATCTACGTCTTTGTCGGTGGCGCATACTGTGAGGCGACCGTGGTGGCGAGATTTTTAACTACCTTGCCGGTCATGCAGGAGGTCGTGAATTCCACGTTCAAAGGGAATGCAAGTCTACACATGAGACTGTGTGGTTGGCTTCCAAGCGTGGTACTAATTTTATACTGGTCACTGAAATTCGAATTCAGGATCTCAGCTGTGCCAGCTCAGTGCTTTGAGCGAGATGTTAATTACCTCACCTGGTATGCAGGAGGCTGTGGGTGAGATCCTGACCCTGAATGCCTGTTGTGTGTTTGGGGTTTGCATGTTCTCCCCGTGGTTGCGTAGTTTTTTTCTCCGGGTCCTCCGGTTTTTCCCTCCACGTTTAGAATCCACATGCGTCTAGAGTATTTGGCTGCTATGAATTTCCACATGATAAGCCGCCACTTCATTGAGGCTATCATTTGTGGACAGGCCAATGACGATTATCTAAACCGTTTCTGGGCCTCACCTAGCCTGACTCAGCCTCAAATGAGACTCGGCCTCAAATGAGACTCAGCCTCCAATGAGTATGTGGGGGAGACAAATGCGGCCAGGCGTGATGCCGGCCACCCCACCCCTTCCTGTACCGTTCCGGCCTTCATAGGTGCTGCTCGCTAACAGCACTTGCCCCAAACAGTCTGTTAAAGCTATACGGTGGGGGGGGGGGGTCTTTGTCTTGGTTCTGAAGGTACCAGCATGAGTACAGCGAGCTGAAGCGTCAGTTGCTGGAGTGCGAGGACGACCAGCGCTCCGTCGACAACCAGCTGCGCCATGCACAGATGCAGCTCGACAAACTCAAGAAAACCAACGTCTTCAATGCCACCTTCCACATATGGTGCGGTATACCCCTCCTGTAGTCCCAGGCAACGGACGCGTCTTCACCCTTGCACCAGCTCCTTTCGAGTGCAATATTATCTTGGCATTAATTCTAGATTTGAAGCTTTCGTGACTGCAAGGATTCCTACTCTTTGGTTTTTTCGGTAAAGCCACGTAGGTAAAAAAATCAATTAGCATCAGGACGCATTCCGAGCCGTTCCCGTTCCGGACGCTGACTATCGTAACGCACAAGTGCTTCAGCGTTAATTTTGTTTAGACGGTCCGTAGCGCCATTGTTTTTAAAGACATTGTACTCGCTGCAGGGAATCGAAGCGACAAGATCGCACTCTATGATAGCTGGCGCCAAACAGTGCCACACGCCCTCTCCCGCATGGCCTTGTGGGAGCCTTTTTCTTTCAGTTCTGTTCCGATGACGCACGTGTACATTTTTTCCTCATTTAGAAACATGCGTTTAGAGTATTTGGCTGCTATAAATTTCCACATGTTAAGCCACTTCGTTGAGCTATCATTTGCGGCCAGGTCACTTCTGAAAAAGAGCTACATAGCTCAGTGGTCCTTACTTGGTAAATGTGTCCTAAATCTACCACCAATTCGTAAGGTTTGTCATGTAAACAAAACGTGACAATTAGTTACTATTTCAGCACACCGGTGTGTTGGAGAGTAAACCGGCCATCTAACCCCAAAAGAAACCTTTATTGTGAATAATATTGGTCACGAAAGCCTACTTGTCAAACCCGGTTAAAATAAAACGTAAAAAAATGGTTCAGTTTAGTTAACATACACTGTGTGGGTGGCGGTGCTTATTTTTTTGTAGGCACAGCGGCCATTTTGGCACGATCAACAACTTCCGCCTGGGCCGCCTGCCCAGCGTCCCCGTGGAGTGGAGCGAGATCAACGCTGCATGGGGTCAGACCGTGCTGCTGCTCCACGCTCTCGCCAACAAGATGGGGCTGCACTTCCAGCGGTGAGCAGCGCGCTGGGGGGTCCAACCCCCCCCCCCCCCCCCCCCCGTGCCACGGGAATGCCTCGCGCACGGTACATCGTGCGACACGGGGGGGGGGGTTCACGGTCATCAAGTCATCCGTTTTGGCGGAACGTTGTTGCGATGGCTAGCCATCGCAGCAAAGACGGTCACCGCATCGCGCGCTTCCCAATACGCTTCCGCGGCCGGCTGGAACGCTCTTCCCTCCGATATTAGGAAGCCACTGGAGCTATGCACTTTTAAATCGAGATCGATTACTCATTTCTTTTGAACTGCTTTTTGTGTTTAGTTTGTTGTCTTTCCTCCGTGCCTCCGATTAGCCCGGTTGGATACGTATGGTGCGAAAGAAGTTCAACATACATGATATTGTGATGACAGTTGCATGTTTTGTCTTGAACAAAAAAGTGTAACTTTTCCCTCGCAAAATCGTTATTAAATATGAAGAGTACAGGCATTGGAGGTGTGAAATAGATAACGGTTTCCCATTGAAATGGTGCTTCGGTAAATGGCTTTTAGGCATGATGGTTAAATTAATTTAAAAAATTCGGTTTTCTATTTATTCATTAATTATGTTCACGTCTTACTGACAGCGTGTGTGTATTCTCAGCGTGATGGGTTGCAACGATCACAAGAATGGTTACACCTCCCTTAAGAATAATTACGCCTCCCTTAGGGTTGTAACTATTTTTGTTCTGAAAATAAATATGTTTAACCACCATAATATTAAAGCTTTTCGTACCCATATAATGTTTTATAGAATTGGGACAATGAAACCCATGACAGAAAAGCAAGTGTTCCTGTGTTAGCTAAATTTATTACCTTCTATATATTTATTTTTACAGATACCGCCTGGTACCATATGGGAACCACTCCTACTTGGAATCACTCACTGACAAATCAAAGGTGAGTTTAGATCAGTTCATAAACAAACAACTAACATTGCTTCAGGTCGGTACACTTAGCTAGGAAGACAAATGGTACATGTGCACGGATTCTGTAATGCTTTCCAACATGCAAGTCTGTCCTCGGAAGAGTTGAAATAGCAACAGTAACTCATAATAAAGGTTTTTGGGTTAGATCGTGTTATTTATGAATGTGTCGTAAACCTCCACCACCCGACACGGCCAAACAGTAAAAAAAAGTGTCACGTTGACAAAAGACAAAATAGTTCACTACTTTAACCCACCGGTGTGTTGAAGAGCGAATCCACAACATTTGCAATTTTTGAGTACGACTTTCCGCTGGTAATTACATCCAGCATCATCGGGCAATTCGCCAGAATGGTTAATATTTAATGGCCCACGTCTTACAGCAACAGTAACGTTCCGTTCTCAGCCATGCATTGAGATCTCACGCATCTCAATGCACGGCTGAGAACGTCATTGCTTTGGCTGTCAGTGTAATTACTTATAGCTCTGATTCTTTTTTTTTATCACTAAGTTATGGGCAACCTTTTGATCAATTCACCAAGTATTTCTCTAGGGTAAGTTCCTCATAGCAACACAACTTTACACTCAAATTGCGTTAATATTTAATCTTTATTACAGTTTTTTTTTTAAATGAGATCACGTAAATATAAATGTGTCGTTAAACCTGCCACCACCCGACACAGCCAATTAGTAAGGTTTGTAATTGGCTGTGTCGGTTAGTGGCAGGTTTAACGACACATTTACATTCATGCGATCTAACCCAAGAGAAAAAAACCTGTATTATGGATGATATTGGTCGCGAAAGCCTACATGTTATTTGAGCTTTATGAGAGTTGTCGCACACCCCCGCTGTTACAGAAACAAAGGGAGCTGTTGCTCAAACACTTTCAACCTTAATTGGAAATAATAATTTTTAAAATGTGTATAATATCACAGCTCCTGCCTACGGCGGCCTTACACAGAGAGGTGCGATTTTTGAGAAAGCAATACGAAAAAATTGGGCACGTAAATATTCTGCGTTTGTGTGCGCTATGGATGTCACTGCCTCTGTTTGGTTCCTCTAGTTGGTTTTATGGAGCAGTAGTGCAGTGGTTAGCGCACTCTGCTACGAACCCAGCAAACCCGAGTTGAATTCACACTCACGACCAACACCAGTGACGATTTTCTGAACCAGTCCTGGGCCTCCCCTTGGTCGATTCTGCCTTAAATGAGTAGTTTGTGTGAAGTGTAAACGTGAGCATTGGGGAGACAAAGGTGGGTGAGCATGGTGCCGGCCACACCAGTCCCCTCCCCTCTCCTCGTGCACTGTGCCGGCCTTCATAGTTTGTCACAAACAGCGCTTGCCCCATCAGCCTGTGTAGGCTTACACGGGGCAATTTTATCTTTGTCGACACAGGAACTGCCTCTGTATGGCTCTGGCGGCTTCCGGTTCTTCTGGGACAGTAAGTTTGACCAGGCGATGGTGGCATTCCTGGACTGCCTGCAGCAGTTTAAGGAGGAGGTGGAGAAGGGGGACACTGGCTTCTGTTTGCCCTACAAGTAACTGCACACTTTAATTCATGCACACACATACACACGTGCGCAAATGAATTAACACAACAACAACAACAACAGCCTGTGCCAGGCCAGGCGCGCTTTGAGGCCACGTGAAGTGTTGTTGGCTCTCTGCTGGCAGGGGGTCACCGAACAGACCCAGGTGCCATGGGTTGACCGAGATGACTGGCAGGTGCACCAGCACCACACAGGCGCGCACACGCGCACACGCGCACCCACAAGCGGAAACCGTTATTACTGTGCTTGTCATCGTCACCGTCGGCCGTGATTTTTCCACTGCTGGATGAATGCTTCCCCAAGCCGTTGTCACGTCTCCCGTGGCCTTCCCTGCAGTGACTCATCTCGATCCCGTCCACACGAGCTGATTTGGTCACCCCATGAAACCTCATTTTGCCGCGCCATCTCCGCAATGAACGTACGCTTGGGTCCGTCGCTTTCTTTGGCAACCACTACGTGTTGAGTCTCGACCCCCTGACCTCATTGTTCCTGCTGACTGTGACCTTGACGCCTGTATATTTGGCGTTTGCACGTCCGTCTCCCCGTCATCTTGTTGTGGATTTTTCTCCAGGTCCCCCCCCACCCTGTTTTTCCCTCCACATTTAGACTCAACGTGCATTTCGAGTATCCGGCTGTGATACATTTCCACGTGATAAGCCACTTGGTTGAGCTATCATTCGTGGCCAGGTTGTGTGTCCGAGTAAAAAGAGCCACATAGCTCGGTGGGCCTCAGCTGGTGAAATAAATAATAGTTTAGACGTTTGGTAGTTTAGAGGGCGGCTGCCGACAATGACGGGCGTGTCGCCGACGGCTTTGTCGCGCGCAGGATGGACGTGGAGAAGGGACGTATCGAGGACACGGGCGGCACGGGGGGGTCCTACTCGATCAAGATCCAGTTCAACTCGGAGGAGCAGTGGACCAAGGCCCTCAAGTTCATGCTCACCGACCTCAAGTGGGGGCTTGCCTGGGTCTCGTCGCACGTCAGCGCCGCCAAGTGACCGGCGGCCGTCGCGCCAATCGCTGCCGTCACCAACCGGGGGTGCGCTTGGCTTCCAAAACCGCGTGCCATTTATGTATGTACGTGTGTGTGTGTGTGTACGTATGTTGAACTTCTTTCGCACCGTACGTAGCCAACCGCGCTAATCGGAGGTGCGGTGGGAGGGACGACAAACTTAACACAAAAAGCGGTTCTGTAGAAATGAGTTTTCAATCTAGATTGAGTGGGTATTGGACTAATTGAATGGGAACCCGTTATTTATTTCATACCTTCAGTTATTGTACTTTTGCTATTTGACAACTATATTGTCCGGCAATAATGATTTTGCAAGGAGAAATGCTTTTTTTGTTTTGAGGCAAAATACACAACTGTCATGATATCATGTAACTATGTTGAAATCCTTTCGTACTGCATATAGCCAACCATGCCAATTGGAGGTGCGGGGGAAGGACACCGAACTAAACGCAAAAAGCAGATCTAAAGAAATCCGTTTTCAATCTGGATTTAAAAGTGCATAGCTCCTAATATCGGAAGGAAGAGCGTTCCAGACAGCCACGGAAACGCATCTGAGAGCACGCGATAGAATGACCGTCTACGTTCGATGGCTAGCCATAAGCCGCCGCGAGGATTATTGTTTGATGGGTGCGTGATTGCGAATCGCAAGTCGGTGAGCTGTATTTTGTCGTTTTATTTTTATTTGCCCGTTGGGAGTTTTTACGACTAATTTGGTAGGCTTAGACATCCGCTTGTTTTGGTTGTTTTGAGTAGCATACGTCCAGTTATGTTTTAGCGGCCAGCTAAAGTTCAGTTAGCGGCGAATGTGTTTGGTTCGTGGAACCTTTTTTGAAGGCCATAGCCCTGCGATGTGTATTCGTGCAGCGCCGCGTGTTGTTCTGCACGATGTCCAACGTTTAGCTCCAGGAGCTGGGAGCTTCTTCAAGCGCGTGGAGTGGAAGTGGGCTTGAGCAGAAGAGATCATGAGAGGGGATGAAGGCTGGTGGTTGGGAGTTTCACGAAGAAGCTTCCCGCACGCGGATAGAAATGTCGGACATCGTGTCGAACGGGGTGCGGCACAACCAGAAACCGCATCGGAGTGCTGGACAGCACAACCGAGAGAATCTACGCAGTAACTTGCCGAAAGTTTGGGTGCAAGTCACGTGTTATTATTACAGAGCATTTAAAGCTGCAGGAGGGTTCTGTTTGGCGGAGCAAATGAAAAATTGTTGGAATGTAACGATGCGACCGATTCGTGGATTAAAATCGATTCTTTTGATACATGAGTTGAAGCACACTTGTGCGGGAATTGATTGTTGCAGGATATATTGGCAAAATATATGTTCACGTGTGCAAGCGCTCGAGAAATGTAACATGTGTGAGAGTGCAATACAGACGACAGATATTACAATCGCCTGATGATGAATAGAGGAACGAGAGAGGAAGCAAGGCGGCACAAACGAGTTCACGCGAAAGGGACGGACGACAGAAAAGAGACGCGGTGCAAACAAGACAGCAGCCAGCAGACGCACGGTGCGCTCCACGCGGGGTAAATCGGAGGATAGAAATTAGACGAAGCTCAAGCGGGACCGACCAAATGAGGCGGCACAAACGACACAAGCAGGGGGGGGGGGGGGGGGAGTTGGAGAGTACAAAAAGAGACGCAGCTTGGGTTCCAAAAGGGACGTGGCCGTAATGAAACGAGACGGGCGGAACGTGTGAGGTAGGCATCGAGGACGAGTCGCGGTCGAAGTGAGATGCTCCCCGCACCGCCGATTAGCGCGGTTGGCCACGTACGGTGCGAAACAAGTTCAACGTGCGTAAGTACAGAGAACACTAAACTTGATTCTCGAGTTAAATCGCAACTCTGATTCGTGACAATTCATCCGATCGCCGTCACGTCCGCTCAACGTCATACAAACCAAAACGCACGTAATTCGTGAATAGCAACCCAGTGTGCGTGCGCGCATCGATGGGCTCTTGTGCTTAGCGAATCGTGGTTACTTTTCAAAATGCAAGGGATGCTGCCACCACGCCAATGGTGTTGCAACGGTCAGCACACTGGACTTGCCAATTCCAGACGTGGTCACCGGCTCGATTGGATTTCCCGGGTGCGGCAGTCGTTTTAAGTTTCTGAAAGCCTCTTTCCACCCAGCGGAATGAACGGGTAACTCCGCGGTTAGTCGCGTGTAGTGGTGTTACCCTTCCAAGATGTCTGGCTAGCCGAGATGGGAAGGCCAAAATACTGTTGAGGGGCTGTCTCGCGCTCTTCATTGCGGAGGTCCTTGTACCAGCAGGAGCAAAGAATTGCAAGGCTGCAACTTTTACCGTGCGAACTGGACTTGCCACCAGAGGTCACCGGTTCCGTTTGATCTCCAGGCGCGGCAGTTGAAACAGTGGTGCAAGTTTCTGAAATCCTCCGCCTCTTTCTACCCAGCAGTATAAATGGGTAACGCCGCAGTTAGTCGCGTGTAGTGCGGGCAGGAGCAAGCAACTGCAGGGCTGCACTTTTACCTTACGGAAATGCCAACGGAGTTTTAACTTGCCCGAGCTTCAAGGTTACAGCCAGATGTGGGAGAGACTTGTAAACTTGGCAAACATTAATTCTCAAATAAGTTGAACCTTTGAATTGTTGTTGAGTTAATTTATTGTACATATAACTTTTCTCTTTTTGCAAATAAAATAAAACAAATCAAGAATTGAAAACATCTGCATGCTGGGTGTAAACTCGCAATCTAGACATTGCCAGGAGCCAGCTAAGTATGACACGTGGCATGAAGATTATAACCCATGCTCCTGAAACGTATATATATGTACTAAAAACTTTGTTATAGCAAAAATAAAACTATGGAAATTGTTGCTTCTCCAATGACTCATTCCGCTGCCGTTACTGAAATAAATTGACGAGGAACACAGTGTGCTTTTGGCACGTGGTCACCAGTCGAGATGCTTGGCATGTGCAGATACAAGAGTCATGACGCTTGCCCAATGCAATGCGGGGATATTATTGAGTGGGCGTTTGTCAGAGTGCCACTGCCCTCTACTGCCCACGTTGCATAACAAAACAAATCCATGTCCACAATTTTTTTCTTCTATCAATTGATCAAGCGATTGTCGGATCCGCTTTGCCTTGATGAAGGTCTGACCCCACGCCATTGTCGGTTGTGCGGAACGTTGATGGTATTTCGCCGTGCAAATCCAGGTTTGGTGAAATGACCGGTTCCGATGGCTCGCGCACACCTGACAAGTTGGCCGTGACCTGGTACGAACGTTAAGCCGGTTAGCACGGTTGGCTACGTACGGTGCGCAAAAAAGTTCCAACGTACGGACGCACATACATTGGGCCGGATTTACAATGCAGTGCGCTTACGACTGCGCCACGGTTGTGCTCAGTGTAGTGTCTGTTATTGAGGCAGGACGAAAAACAAGAAGCCACGAGATGGTGGATGATATACCATGAAGGGCTGTTGCCTGAATCGTCGCCGATATTGAGATGTTCTTATGGGGCCACAAAAGAGTTGTTGTTTGTTAATTATGCTTGTGCACCACAGCCAATGCAGCGTCACCAAACAAATGTATTATTCGCATTGAATCGCAATGCTCCAGAGTTTGGAAGCTAAGCAGGCATGATCCTGTACTGAGTGTCTGGGCAGCCACCAAAAATATAAATACAAAGATCCCCCGTATCGCCTCAACAGACTGTTAGGGCAAGTGCGGTTAGCGAGCACCTGTGGGTGGGCAACACCACGCCCGGTCGCTTTTGTCTCCCCAAGTGGCGATGTTTAACACACCGTACCAGGTACTCCTTCGAGGCTGAGTCGACCTAGGGGAGGTCCGGGACCGGTTCAGATAATCGTCACCGGTGTTGGTGGCCGTGATCGAGACTCGAACCTCACAGCCACCACACACACAAGTTGCCATAAAGGTTTTGCGGGAACAACGTCGTTTGGCAGCAGAGGGCAGCGGAAGAAGCATTGTCCCACCGACAAAAATACGGGTTTTACCCATTCTGGCAATAAAACAGTTTATGTTAAGATGTTAAAACACCAAACAGAAATCTTTTGCAAGGAATCACGTCTGTAATCTTTGGTTATGTCGGTAAAGTCACCGAAAGAACCAAATAAATATGAATTCGTGCAGTCACGAAAGTTTTAAGTAAAAATTGAATCATGTCTGCATGAACCACACTTCATACTTGTGGCAAACATTCAAATAAATAAAACATACTCTGATAGTATACTTTGGGTCTTTCGGTAAAGTCCACGTAGATAAGTTCAAAGAAAATAACAAAAAACTACGACGTTTCGATTGCAACACAAGCGTTCGTCATCAGGGAAAAAATATATATTGTCCCAGCTCAATGCTCCCCCACCCCCCCCTCTCTGTTTTTCTTCCTGCTGACAAACGCTTGTGTTGTTATCGTAATGTAGTTATTTTTTTGTTATTTTCTTTGAACCTATCTACGTGACTTTACCGAAAGACCCAAAGAATATGCAATCACGAAAGCTTTAAGTCAAGATGCTCTGATAGTATATGATGCATTGTCCTTGAAACCGATTGGTCCACACCAGGGACGCTTTCTTTAGAGCCTCGTCTCAAAACATTGTTCAACCAGAGGACGCCAAAAGGCGAACAGCACAAGGACAATGCCACTAATAGGGCATTGAGAGCTCGGGGTGAGCAGCTGCATCGTGGGACTTCCCTTGCCAGTATCAAAATATAAGAATAGTTTGAGACGAATCTGTAATAAAGAAAGCTGTCTCTGGTGTGGACCAATCAGTTTCAAGGACAATGCATCATCATCATCATGTACTATCAGAGCACGTTTTTTTTGGTTTGCATGTTCTCCACAAGTATATGTGGTTAATCTTGATTAGAAGCTTTCGTGACTGCAGCATTGAATACTTTTAGGTTATTTCGGTAAAGTCACGCAGATAGGAAACTAAATAAATATATCACGACGTTTCGATCGCAACAACAAGCGATCGTCCTCAGGTGAAAGAGAGAAACATGCCTCTGTGAAGAGGCATTATATATAGAGTGGGAGTCGGGATAAAATTCAAAGAGGGCTTGGATGAGAGAGAAAATAAATGTGACAAGGAATCTGAGATATCAAACTTAACAACATTTATAAATGTAATGCAACTCAACAGAGTCGGCTAACACAACAGGTAACACTTTACCTGGTTGATCAAGTCCTTCTAAAGATTGCTCAATGTTTCAATCTTTGGTTAATCCAGACATGATTCCTTGCAAAAGGTGTATGGTTGGGCGTTTTAACATCTGAACACAACTGTTTTGTTGCCAGAAATAAGGTTACAACCTCTTCTTATATTTTGACACTAGCAAGGGTGGTCCCATATTGATATTGTCCCCACCGTCACCAACCAGCAGTAACCAGTGCGGTGAAGTATGGTCAAACACGGCGTAAGGCCGAGACCTTTTAAAAGTGGTAATCGCTTGAATATTATTTATTCGTCGAATTTCTTAAATCGTCCGTAAATTACAAATCGACAATTCAATAGTCACAGCAATTCATCAATTCACACAACCGGGAGCTCAAATGTGTTATTTTGATTAACCGGCTGATAATTTAACAGACATTTATAAATTTACGTAGATCCGCACCACTGCATATTTATGTTGCAGAAAAAAAACCCCATCAACACATTCGTCAATAACACAGTGGCCTTAACAAGGAAACATTACGAGGCGACGTTTCGGGCGGTGGTCCTACGACTTCGCCCATATATAGAGGCCAGAGAGGCGTAATCATAAGAGTTGGATGGAGAACTTTCACTTGACGCCATGGAGGAGTCAATAAACAAAAAATGTTCCGATGACCAGTTAAATATTTATTTTTTTAAATTGTCCACCAAAATACAGAAGGGATTACCGTAATTTAATCCGAATAACGGATCACTCGCTCGTCGCAAGCAGCTGACAATGGGAAAATCATCCAATCAAACAGCACCGGTGTGACAACCCCCCCCTCCCCCGCCGCCCTGCCCATTGGCTTGTGTAGTTCCAATGCAGCAGAAGCAACGTGGTCATTATTATTTAATTCGAATGTTGTGCTCGCGGGGCACAGCAAAATCGCCGCGGTCCCTTGTAGCGGATGACGCCGGGCGTGCGAAGTGGGGGGGGGGGAGCATTCCAGGCCGCGCGGTCTTCAGGCGGCCCGCGGCGACAATTATTTATTTATTTGCTGACGTGTCCTCCCTCGCCCCGCCTACCTAATGCATTATTTATGAGGGGGGAGGGGGGGTTGTGGCGATTCCTCATTCAACGTGCGAGTGGATTCAATTCGATTCTATAGAAAGCTACGATGGGATTCGATTTTTTTGGTGGATCGTTACCGGGGAAGATTCCGGAATCGATCGATTCTTAAATTTGATATATACGGGACGGTTAAATTTCGATTTAAAGCTTTCGTGACTGCAGTGATTAATCTTCTTTGGTTCTTTCGGTAAAGTCACGTAGAATGAGAATAAAATAATAAATTGATCAAATAAAATAACACAATAATATTCTCACGACGTTTCGGCCACAATACAAGCAGCCTTCATCAGGTGAAGGGACGAGAGAATAAAATAATAAATTGATAAAATAAAATAACACAATAATATTCTCACGACGTTTCGGCCACAACACAAGCAGCCTTCATCAGGTGAAGGGACGAGAGAATAAAATAATAAATTGATAAAATAAAATAACACAATAATATTCTCACGACGTTTCGGCCACAACACAAGCGGCCTTCATCAGGTGAAGGGACGAGAACCAAAGTACGGGACGGTTGTTCTATAGACTGTGCAGTTCAGGACAACGAGGAATTAAAATTGTTGTGAAGTCTGTAGATGTGTGAATTTTTAGATTTAAAGTTGCGCGAAGCTATAGAGTTAACAATGGTGGGAATGTACAGAATCAACGGCTTTGGGGCCGTCCATAAATGACGTCACGCGATTTTTGACCCCCCCCCCCACCGTCGTCACAAAAAGTCAGACTCCCCCCTCCTCAAATATGACGTCACAAAACTCTGCCCCTCCCCCCCAAAAAATATAAAACATGTTTCAAATCGTTTTAAACTATTGTCATTATAGTGCGTATTTAATGTGGCGCTGCTCTCTGATGTTGTAGGAGAAAACATTTATTAAAAATTATAATTAATTAAGTAGAACGTGTTGTCTATATTTATTTAAAGTTGCGCATTTTGATGTGACGTCACATTTCTCAAACCCCCCCCCCCTTGTCACACATCGTCACAAATGTCTGACCCCCCCCCAGGTGCGTGACGTCATTTATGGACGGCCCCATAGCTGTCAACCCCATACGGTTTAATCCTTATTCTTTGTACAGGGAAATTGAGTTTCAGGTCCATACGCCTTACGGCAGTTTCAATACGGGCAAAAATATATAATATAATATATAGTGTCTATTTGTTTGTGTTTCTCCCTTGTGATGGGACTTTGTAGGATTAACGTTGAGATTTGTAAGGGGCACGGGGTGACCAATAGGGTCTGGATTTGTCTGTAATGAGGTAGGAGGCACTGATAAGGGGTTGACAGGTACGTTACTGTTATCCCGTTATAAAGGGGCCGTCCATAAATGACGTCACGCACCTGGGGGGGGGGGGGGATCAGACATTTGTGACGATGTGTGACGAGGGGGGAGGGGGTTTGAGAAATGTGACGTCACATCAAAATGCGCAACTTTAAATAAATATAGACAACACGTTCTACTTAATTAGACTTTTTAATAAATGTTTTCTCCTACACCATCAGAGCTCAGCGCCACATTAAATACGCACTACAATGACAATAGTTTAAAGCCATTTGAAGCATTTTTATTTAAAGC